ATATTAGGCTGGCATAAATTTCAACAGTTAGAAGGGAGAGTTTTGTTGTAACTTCCACAGATAGTTTGTGAGGTCTTTGCTAGAAGAAAACAACCACTATGTGGATGAATCCATTTTAAAATTTAGGGGAGCTCATTCTCTGAACATGATGAGGAAGGGGGAAATTGACCCAAAAAACTTCTAGAACGTTGCTAAAAAAAGATGGGAAATATAGTATTACTCGAATCATCCAGACACATTTCAAGATTCATGTCTCTCTATTTGAAAGTATCGTGACAGATATATTTGAATGTATATATTTGACTTGGCTGCTTGGGGGGTTAAATATTAATAGCTATATTAGCAATTATATTAAATTTAATTAAAATATATATAATGTATGTTTAGTGATTTCCATTTTAAATTACTGTATTTTATAGCAATGTCTCTGTAAATTGAAAACTGTGGAGTTTTACTCTGAATGTACAGGATTTTTAAATTCTGAATTATACAAACTGTTTAATGAGATGAGTTCCTAGCTGTTGTATATTTAGATAACTAGATTGTATATATAATTTAAAAAAGTAATAGCAAATACAGTATGCAATATGTTTCTAATTTTTTTAAACTCATTTGCTGTGTAGTTTTAGTCTTTCTTTTGGAATTTTAATATGTCATAAAAACACTGAATTAATGACATTGCATTTCGACTAATTTTTTGAAATTTTCTTATGTAAGTGAATATTTTAGAAAATTATCTCTAAGACATGAATATATTTAATAATTCTGAGTTTTTTGCTAATGAATATAAATTCTGTAAAATGTGTGAACCACAAGTAGTCGTGTTCAAGAATTTTGTATTTCAAAATATTACAATTTATTTTTTTAAATGTAATATAGGTTGTTTTTTTTAAATATTTGCTGAGACTTTTGTAATAAAACATTTCTGTTATTCAAGAAACCGTTATATGTGTATTTTTAATAATTTCATTTACTATAATGTCATGTTATTTGTAATTCTTATTCAATCTGAGCATTAAACAATTAGAATTATTTTTTATATTAATGCTATGAAAATTAATGGCTCCATTAGCTTTACTGCATATTCCTTGTTTATCGAGCATAGAAGTTGTTCCTTTTTCCCAATATGAAATTGTAAAAGTTTATAAAAGGAAAGAAAAGGTTAAAAATATGAAGTTATATTAATGCAGTTAATGAAAATTATAGCAAAAGATGTCAGTTATCATGCTGTATAATTTTATATTAAAATTATAAATTTTATACTAAAATTATACTTTGATTCAGAATAGTTTAGCTGTTTTATGTTCAATAATACTTCTGTATTTTCAACTGTAATATTTCTTCAGTTATTGACAGAAAAAAAGGATTGTTTTCTTAATAATTAATTTTTGTGTTGTGTCCTGAAACATTACACATTAATTTTTTTTCACTTAATGTAATAAGTAAAGGAAGTATGTACATCAAAAAAAGAAATAATTTTTTGTCATCATTGATATTTATTTCATGATTAATGTTCCTGATTCATTTTTAAAATTTTATAAATATAACTTTTTCTTATTTATGAGAATTTCTAATAATATTTAAAATTTTAAATATTTTTTTTTTTTTTTACCTTATTATGCAAGTAGTGCATGAAAAAAATCTGAAAAAATTCTGATTTCTAATTCTATTCAATTTTAATTTTTTATTTTTAATTGTATTGAGTGAATGAATACTGTTCATATCTTGGTTCAGAAGTTATCCTTTTGTCAAATTTGACCATCTTTGCTAATAAAGTTAATTATGTTAGTGACTTATATATAAAAATGACAATTGTAAACAGTTTATTGGTCATCAGTTACGTTAATTAGAATATTTGAATAATTAAAAGAAATTGGGGACTCTTCTGTTATTGGGACCAGATTTAGAAATGTGTGTATGTATGTATGCATACACTCACATATATATATGCACATACATACATACATATATTTCTGAATCCAGTCCCAGTAACAGAAGAGTACCAACAATTATTGATTGCAAGAAATTTAAATGATTTATTTTTATCTTGCTATGAATAACACCTTTACACATGGCATATGGTACTATGCTGGCAATTTGCAGTTATTATGCTATGTATTATTATTTACACAGTGGAGTTACCCTGAAAGAGCTGATCTCTAATGATTAACAGATGTGCTAATAATTGTTAATAACTTGCATATTTTCTCTTTAAGAGATGATACATGGGAATCCCATAATCAAAATTTATTAGCTTAACAGGATTGTTATTTAAAATTTAAAAAGAAAAGTTCTTTTCAGTTTTTGTAGAAAACTTTTCTTGTCTAGAATTCTTTTCAAACTGTTAGTATGTAATTTTTTTGTAGAAATTAATTTCTTTTAAAATTTCAAAAATTAGTTCCTTCAAAGTAAAACAAACTGTGCCTAAGATTATATATATATTTACGAATAAAACAATTTTTTTGGAAAGAGTTACTGATTCGTACCCCCTCCATTGTTTTAGAATATATATTTAAATAAATTATGCACATGTACAATTAGTTAGATTATAGTATGTCTAGACATATGTGGATTGACTAAACCAGTTGTACATTACTTGGTGATTTCTAGCTAAGGTAACTGCTGCTATTTCTTCATAAGAAGCCTAAACAAATTTTGCCATGTTAAATAAATACTTATATATAAGTTGTTGAGAATTTTTACATTAAACTAGCACATGAATTTCAGTGTGATAAAAAATATAAATGTGTGCAGTATAATTAATATTCTGTTTCAGATGTGATATCTGACTCTTTTTTTCTGTGTGCTTAATTTAAAAAAAAAAAAAAAAAAGCACACATAGAGTTACAATATTGATAGTAATCTATTTAAAGAAAGATGAAACAAATTGTTTTAATTGACAATAGCATAAACTATTAACAATAAACAAACTATATATTATTTGTTGATATCAACATAAAGAAACATTAAAAACTGTAGCATGTACTAAAATTATTGTAACTTTAACCTGCATTTGTTGTCAAGTTTTGAGCTTATTAGAACGTAAGATTCACTTATCCAATATAATTGGAATCTGTGTTTATTTTTTGAAAATGGAATATTTTGTCAGTTCTCTGTGATTTTTTTTTTTTTTTTTTTTTTTTTAATATTAAGATGTGCAAACTTTTTTGTTAATTACTGTATTTAGTTGAAGAGAACATCTGCAATGTAGTTGTATTCATATATGGTGTGAATTTTATTTTTGATGCAGTTATTACTTTTTTATTTCAGTTAATTTCATATAAATGTGTTTTTATTGTTCCACAGTTCTTTGTAATTAATAAATATCTTTAATTGTGAAATTTTGATCACCATCATTCTTTGATATTTAACGGACATTTAAAATATGATGCAAGAAAATACATAAAAAAATTGGTTACTGTATTTTTATATTAATTATGGTGTGTTTTCTAAGAACAGCATCATTAAGAGACAATTAAATATGTTTAGCATTAAAAAATTTAATATATATTTAAAATTTGCAGAAATAATGCCATTTTAAAATTATTGATCTTAAAACCAGAAAAATACTCTCATTTAACATTTAGTAAAATGTTAAACATAAAACATAAATAGGTTTGATTCTTGGGCATATGGATATGCTGGCCATATACAAGTGTTTTTATGACCCCTTCCTCGAGGCTCATTAAAGTCACACAAATAATCCTTGAGTACTTTGCAAAGTACTCCAATAAAATTGTATATATAGAGAAAATAATTTAAGAAATAACAGCAAAATTTTATATTGTACAGTCAAAAGTCGTTAATCTGGACTCGTCGGGACTTCGGCGATTCCGGATTATAGATCATCAGTTTAAATCTGGTAAGATGGCATGCAGAAATTATAAAATTAAAAATATGAAACCATAATTTATGAAATAAAGAACAATTATGATCTAAAGGGTATCAAAATTTACAAAAAAAAAAGCTTAATATTTATTTGTTTACTTTATTAAACATTTCTTTCAATGCAAGTTGTTTAAGTTGCTTCGTTTCATGTGATAATACTTTCTCTTTAATTCTATTAAACAGACATAATTTCTTGTTTAGTTACAAAGTTCCGCTGTTTAAGTCCTATAATTGCTGTGTTGATAATACCGACTAATTTGTCAATCGAAAATTTTTTCGTTTTCAATAACCTCTGGGTCACTTTCTTCTTCACTATCGGAAGCGAATTATAATGACGAGGAATTTGATTTAAATCATATCAGAGTACATTGAGATAAAATATACATTTAGTAAGGAATTATTAAGCCAAATAAAATAAAAACATCTGCCCTGAAGATAAGGATAGTGCCGACAGATCAACTTCCAATTCATTGCAGCTCCAGCATCGGAAATTCTATTTGACATAATCAAAAGTTCAAGCTTACTTTTATAAAATTGCTCTAACAGTCTGCAAAAAATAATAAGCCGGATGCAATTCGAAGATTAAGGAACAACGCAATCTGCAATATTAACTGAAATAGATAATTTTAGCTTATACCATCCATTATACATTAAATGTGCATGCGTAAACGTGTTATGTGCATGTGCTTTCATCTTCATGGGCAATCTTCTTAGTTATTTATGGATGTTACTCTCGCACTTATTAAAAGAAATGTAAATGTGCATTTCTGTATTATTGTGGAGGGGTTGTGTTAAACAGAAAATTGCTGATTATTTTGAACTTACAAAATGAACTTAACTCTGAACATACAAGGGTATCTCAAATAAAATATTTAGTAGTTCAAAATTTCAACTAACTCATTTTGTAATGCTCACTTATTAATTATTAAATGCTTTTTACACAGATGATACTTTTGCTTTTTAGTAAATTTCATATTTTAAAATTGGAATAAGAGTTTTTCAAGTTACTTTACATTCCCAAATGCTATATTTTGAACTTTTAGGTTTTACTGTTTTAAAAATTGTAAATATTAATAATACTCTCTATAACTGATTGGAAAGTTTCATTACAGAAAATCACCCTAGGGCTCTCTATTCATGGCAGGATGCTTTCATGGAAGATATTCTAAGGAAATCTTAACACAAATTTACATGAGAAAAAGCATGGAAACTTATTTTTTTACAAGAAAATTGTATTTATGTAAGTGTTGGTTGATATGTCGCAAGTAATGTTGTTATTCAAAACTTGTAACAAACAGTAAGGACATGAAGAAAAATTAAAACAGACATTGTTTTTTAAGATTCTAAGTTTTGTAATTTAATCAATAACATACACAACTCATAACAATTCATATATATGATTAGACAAAAAACTGTACAAATTTTTATATTTCTTGTACTCTGTAAAATATTTTGCAAGTAGATTTTGACAGATTGTCACTGCTGTTATATAATATTATATTTGATCCTTTTGCAGCTCTTTACAGCACTTTTATGAAACTGCTGTTGGGATGTGCTCATACAAAAATTTATATATGTTTTAAGAGCTCATACCATAAGATTATTTTTCTTTTGAAGAGGTATTGTCAATATTCCTATACTCTCATACAATAAGCTCATTCATTTTTTTTTTTTTTTTTACATGTTTTAAAACTCTACTGCAGCTGACACTTTTACAATATTTTACTCTCAAGTTTAATAATTCTCTTTTTTTTTTATAATTTCATTCACCTTTTTAATATTTTGTTTCTAAAAAAAAGCTTAAACAGGAAGATCAAATACAATTGGACCAGCCAATTTTAGATAAAGCACAAAGATTACGTACTATATTGGCACAAATAATTTAACATAAATAAGTACAAGTTATACACTAAATGTGCGCTAGAAACGATTATGGAAAACCATAAGGAACCATACAGACCAAATAAGTAGAACAGGTGTTTCATTCTGAAAATGTTTTGGTATATAACATTATAAGCTCTAGCTATAAGGCTTTCTACAATACACTATACAGGAAAGAGGTTAAAAATTCAACAAGTATTACAACCAAACATAAACATTATTGTTACTGCATTCTTCAGAACTCAAATAATTTTTCGATTTGTGTTCAACACAATCGGAAACAACATTACGTGAAAATATAATTTGTGTTCATTTTGTAATATTTTGCAGTGACTACATATCCTTTAGTCTTAATTATGCAGGAATAACCAATCAAATATACAATTTAATCAGTATGCTCAAATTTATACATTTATCAAATTAAAAAGAATTAATTGCATCAAAATCAATCTTGTTTATTCTGGAGATAAACACATTTCTATATACCTTTTTTTCTGTTTTAATAATAAAAATAATTGTTGTGATTCGTAAGTTCTAAATATAATGATGCAACATATATGTTGCTATGCAAATTAACTTTTATAATATTTAAATTAATTTAAAATTATTGATGTAAAATATAACAAAGATTCCTGTGATCCTTGTGAATAAAACAACATTCTGGTTATGATTTCAATTTGAAATATGTGCAAGAGAAAAATATTATATAGAACCAATTCTTGAATTTGGAAATCATATATTTGCTAAAGTCTTAAAAGTGGCAAGTTAGGAAGAAACAAATTAATATTTTAAATAGTTCAGTCTTAAAAATTCATATGAAACACAAGCTACACATCTAAAAAATATATGTATCTTTGGTAAAAACTTAAATTTTGACATGTTGATTATAGATGCGAAAGAGATATAAAAAAAAGATGTGTTCATTCAAAATTATTCAATTTTGGAAAACCTGAACATTAAACGAGACATATAAGAATTGATATGAAACATAAATAATCTGATATGCATTATAATAAACAAAAACTGGTGAACAGTTGAAAAATAAGTGTTTAAGAACACGTACGCAGTTAGGAAGCCTTACTTAAAGAAGTGAACAATGTGCCTAGGAAGGCCACCAGCAGATTACAGATAGCATTTTCACAGAAATATAATATCCATATGCAAAAATACTGTTGGGAGTATTTTTCAAAAACTGTTCTATGTGACTCTCAAAGAAGACCAACATCCTAAACGCAGAGACCAAGAATGAAAAGTATTTTTCTGAGAATACGACTTTACTTAATTGCTAAAAAGACTATCGGCAGTAAATATTTTTCTTTCCATAAAATGTATCAAAGCACATTATAAAGTTTTCATGTCTTCTGAAGACAGCACCCAGTTGAGCACAAGCATATTTTTAATTATCTTCTGATTTGTTATCACCCCCGGGAAGCTTTGCTGCTTTTGGGCGGTGGTGGTGGGGCTTGTTTTTTGGCATTGGCTACGTAAGTTTTATTTTCCATTCTGGACATTTCAGGTCTTGATTGTGATGTGGATCGTATGAAATGGTGCCTGTCAGTGTGGTTAGGTAAGGGTGGAGGCGATGATGGAGATCGCTGTAATGGATGACTGGCTGCTGGTAAATAGTTTGGATCTCTAAATCCCAGAATCTGATGTGAAGTTGAACTGTTATTATCTAGTGACAGCTGCTGAGCTACTTTCCATTTCCTCACCATTACCTTTTGTAAGTTTTTTAGAAATGTTTCTGGTGGGTATTCTTCTTGGTCATAAGGGGCTGCTGAGGCAGATGCAGATCTCCGCTGAGGTGCAGTGAAGGCTGAAGAGAGTTTTGTATTTTCACTCCTCTTTGGAGGGGAAGGTTTAAATTGTGATCGAGATTTTCTGTCAATTGCAGTTGGTTTAGATGCATCAGAGGGTGAGATGACAGAGTGTACTTGTAACTGGTTGGAAGCTGCACAAGGTGCACTTGTCCTTCTGCTTCGGGATACCGCACTAGGTTTAGCATTCTCTGCATGGGAAGTTCTGTCCACTTGCGAACAAGGAGATATTGTTGGTGCCCATTCATTCTCATCACAGCATTTCCAGTTCAAATGTAAGTTCTGCTTTGAAGGCTTTGGTTTTATCACAACAAGTCCATTCTGGTGCTCGACCAGTCGAGGTGGCGTGGCACGAGCATCACTTTCTGACTGTCTGCGTCGGATGCCCTTTCGAGGTTTTGGAGGCACGGCAGGTGATGTCTTCTTGCCCTTACTTTCAGGACTAAGGACATCATCATTTTGCAGACAAGGTGGAGGAGGAATGTTTGACTCATTCAACCAACTTAGATCTTCATTGGTATCAGGAGTTATGAGAGGAGGAGGTGACAAATTTTCCAAGTTCAAAGTATTTGTTGTCCTAAATGCTTCAGGAGGAGGAGGAGGTAGGGTATCAAAATTCATACACTCTGATGAGTTGACCTCGGGAGGAGGAGGAGGGAGTGGCAAATCATCCCGAAGTAGACTAGATGGTGGTGTTTCCTGAAAGTAATAAAAAGGAACCATAATTTAATAAAAATTTCTCATAATTTATCAAGTAAAGTTAGCTTATAAGCAGTTTGATTGGATAAAGTTAATTGTTAATCACTTAAATTAGTATAAATCACTTAAATTAGTAAATTAGTATATGTCAGTATAAATGTTAAGAGTTTCCATTTGCTTGTAATTAAATTATACACTGCTCGACATTGAAAACGCAACACCAAGAAGGAGTGGTCAGAAAGTGATGAAATTTGGAAAAAAGACAGAGACAGCAAGCAGCAATAAGTGATCTTTGTTTCAAAATGATAGTCAGAATACAGAGAACAGCGTTGGCTCAGTAGGATGTAGGACCACCGCAGACAGCTATGCACAAAGAAACACGTCTAGGCCTAGAGTCAATAAGAGTGTGGATGGTGTCCTGAGAGATGACTCTTCATTCCCTTTCGACCATTTGCCACAGTTCGTCTCTGAACGAGGCAGGGGGAGAGTCTGCAAACGGCATCCAATCACATCCCACACATGTTTGATTGGTGACAGGTCAGGAGAGTACGGTGGCCAGGGAAGCATCTGTATACCTTGCAGAGCATGTTGGCATATGCGAGCACTGTGCGGTCGGGTGTTATCCTGCTGAAAAATTGCATTATGCAGCCCTGGAGGTAGGGGATTGCCACCCGCCGCAGTACATTATCCAAGTATCGTTGGGCCGTCATAGTGCCCTGAATACAAACTAGAGGTGACCTGGAATTGTAGACAATAGCGCCCCAAAGCATTATATAAAGTTGTCACATGGTGTGGCGTTCCACAGCTACTGCCGGATTAGATCTGTCTCCACATCGACGCCACACACATATGCGGCGACTGTCACTGGATAAACAGAAGCGTGATTCATCTGATAACACGATGTTTCGCCATTCTGTCATCCACATTGCTCCATTCTAAACGTTGGCGTCTATGCTGTGGGGTCAATGGCAGTCTTCTTAACGGACGCCATGAATGTAGGCCATGTTCAACCAATGGACGAGAAATGGTTCTGGTCGACACGGGAATATCCAGGATATCTTGCACATGCTGCAGAATCACGGTACAAGTGACTTGCGGAACCGCCACAGCTTGTCGGCCGATGCGTCAATCCAAGCGTGCTAACGTCACTGTGACTGCACCTGCACCCCTCCTTCTTCCCACATTTCCTTGTTCCAACCATGTTTGCCATAGCAGATGCACCGTGCTCGCATCCATGTGAGTATCAGCTGCAATTTGATGTAAGGACCAACCCGCCCTTCTCAGTTCGATCACCATACGCCTCGTAAAAACGTCTATTTGCTGGAAGTGCCTTTGTTGACGGCGGCTTGGCATTCTTTCCTATTACACGTATCCTCCGAGACAAAAAACAGCTTTCTTCAATAATTCATCTGGCAGAAATAACGAAACGAATACTGCCCATTCTGCACGTTACTTCCTTTATATCTTACTTCACATGCGTTGGAGAGCTGTGCATTTCAGATCATTTGCATAACTCACTGACGTGTGTCTACTCTAAATTTTGCATAAATTTCTGACCATTCCTTCTTGGTGTTGCATTTTCAATGTCAAGCAGTATATGATGAGCCTCATATGACAAACCTTTTACAATTATTTTCTAAATATTTACTTTTTTTTTTTTTTTTTTTTAACTTTCACATTCTATTTTGTTAAAATTAACAGTGCTATCTGGAAATGAAATACCATTATGAAAACACTTATGTTATTTACTAAATGCATGAATACTAAGTAAGTAATTTGAAAAAAAAAGGGGGGGAACCATTTTTAGGAGAAAGGGATACCTGATTTTTATGCTTTAATTATACGCTTCATGCTTTCGTAAATCAGACCGTCAAGAGCCAAAAATTAAAGAATGACATAGCTAAAGTGATCACAGTACTTCTTCCTTTGAAAGATTCTTACAACTAAACTTGCATGTGAAAACACAAGTTTCACAAAGTGAAAAAAGTGCTTATCTGATTATATATATATACATTTTCCAAGATGGCTAAAACAATTTCAAGAAAAGAAATAAAAGAGAATCTTATCATAGTACTGAGCTGAAAATGAGAATGAAAGATAACTGATTAATGTATTATGTAATGAATGAATGCACAAGACTACAAGTATAACCCAATATTTAACCATAGCATGGCTTAAAAAAAAAAAAAAAAAAAAAAAAAAAAAAAAAAAAAAAAAAAGGAAGGGAACATTTTCCTATGAAAATATAGAATTCCATTTAAAAAATCCAATGCTAAACTTTTTTAGAATTATGGCCCAGTTCTTTATAAAATAGGTCAGAGATCTATAGGATTCAGTAAGATTTTAGATATACATTCTATACCATTATATATAGAGATTCTACAGAGGCATGTTATAGATATTACAGAGATCTGTGCTACAATTCGGTAAAATCTGTATAGTTTCTAATGTACAGAATTTTACATAATGTGTATAAAATCAACTAATAGATTTCAACAGCAAATATCAGATTCACTTTATAAAAAATTGGGCTATAATTCTAAAGAACTCTAAATAAGTTTCTTTATTTTAATTTTCTATAAAAGATCTTATAGAAGCTGTTAAGCACTTACCATCATTATAAAATCAACAAAATTCTTATGGAATCAAAAGAAATTAATTAAATTTTCATTTTTGAATAGAATTTTTACCTAAATTTTGATGTGATTTTCTTCCTAATAAAAATTTCCAGTATAATTTTGTTTTAAAAATATTGAAATAAAAATAAATATATTTTAAATGACAGTTCATATTATCATGGATACATATACAATAAAGCAGCAAGTTTCAAGAATGATAATTTTATATTAACAATATTAAATTTATATTTTAATCTTTTAATTAAATTTATGATTTTAATTGATTTTACACTTTTACAATATTTAATTTTTCCATTTAATGAGCAATACTGTAAAAAAAAATTTCAGAAAATCTTACTTTAAGTTAGAAACTAACGTTAAGCTAGAGGAAAGAAGGCAAAATTTTCTATTCCAGAATCATTCTACACTTATGAATAGTGATAATATTTGCTCTTTTATATCCCCATCAGAAATTAAAAATTTGCTTTGAATAGAGTTTGACAACTTTGGAGACTTTTACAGGTTATCATTCTGTAAAGGCTTTATAAATTTCTATATGATTTGGCAAGGCAACATTTCAGTAGAACTCTACTCTGTGAAAGTTTTATAAAATTAGTACTATAAAATTTTATAAACATTCTTATACAGTTCTGCAGGAGTTTCTATAGAATTCTATCAGCATTTATATAAAAAAAAATTAAGGGTTTAATGACAATTTCATTCTTAGCTCTATTTTCGGCTTTATTTGCTATAGAAGATGGCTGGCCTAGATTATAGATAATTTGGTCGTAATTCTAAAGGCAGAGAAGTTTAACACTGGATTTTTTCTTAGAATTCCATAAGACATTTTCATAAGGGATGTGATAAACTTATGAAAAATATTTTTGAAGTTGATGCTATAGAAATGCTTATAGAACTTATATAGGTAATTTTCTGTAGAAATGTTTATCTATAAATTTCTATAGAAATTTTATAAAACCTTTACAAAACAGGGTTATACAAAAATATTACTATTAAAAATCAATAAAGCCTTGAATAAAGAATGTTCCTTTTTAGAAAATCTGCAATGTTTTACAAACTGTAATCAGAGAAATTTTTTGATATACTATATGGCATACACAAGAGTAAAAACAAACATATTACATATAAATAATTGTTAGTAATAAATGTAAGTTATTTTTACTTTTTCATCTAGCTTCTTGTTCTTTAGTTTCTCAATTTATGTAACATTTTGTGAAATTTTTTCTACATTATTTATCTAATACAAAAACTGAATCTTGTAAAAGCCTGATATCAGTTTTGATCACAAAATTAGATAAAAGATTAAAGTTGTGCAGTTAATTATAAAAAAAATTCTTGAAATTAATGATATTAATTATTGTATATATGCCCAACAAGATAAATTTTTTAAAAATTTTAATTAAGTTTAACTGTTATTTAAAATGCTTTTATTTTTATTTAAATTTCTTTAAATCAAATTGATATTGGAATTTTTTAGCAGGGCGGGGGGAATCACATTTGTTCCAAAATATTTTACCTTCTCTCCATATTATTTCCCAATTTTGATTAAAAAATTCTTTTCAATAAATAGAACTGAATTCACTCTTTTTAATCCCAAAAGAAAAGTTTGTTGCTTTTATGATGATTTTAAATACACATAAGCTTCTAGAGAATCTTTTACAGAAAATGTAAATAAGGAAACTTGTTTAGAATTATTCAAATTTCAGCCAAATTTTTTGTAAACTGGCTCTGATATTTTGCATAGAACCATTAGAAACTGTAAGAATCTTTTATAGAATAATTGCATAAACCTCCATAGAATATCTGCATATATCTTTATACATAACTCTACAGAAACGTACATCTCTGCATCTTTGACCTAATTTAGAGAAAAGACGATCACAATTAAAAGGATTCTGAAGAAATTTAACATTGGACTTTTTTTTATAAAATTCTGTAAGACATTTTCGTAAGGTACCTTAGATAAAGGAGCTGATATGTTCTTTAATGGTTCTGCTTAGGTTAAAAATTGCTGATCTGTTCTTTAGTAGTTCTGCTTTACAAGTAAATATTGTGTACTCCATAAATATTTTGCTCTAGTTGCAAATCAATCTTAAGAAAACTGCTTCAACATTTATCTATCAAAACTGTAGACAATCCCACCCACAAAAATCTACTCATACTCTGAATGAGTTTGATGTTTTTACAAGCTTAGCTTATAAGCATTAAATGTGCCAGTTATATATATAAGAATTTAGATTAAATTTAAAGTTAAGAGCAATTCCTTTAGGCAATTTCTGTAGTGCAAAAGATCCAATGTAACCAGTTTCATCTATGATAATATTTTATCATAAAAATATTTGTAAATGAAGAGCTAAATGAGTAAATTTTAATTTCAGATAGCACTGTTTTCCATCACTAACTACTGCACTTACAAGAATTAAGCTTCTAAGGATCCAGATCAAATCGATTCTTTACTGTGGATATTAGTACGCATTTCTTTATTAAAAGAATTTTAAAAAAATAAGAAAAAGAAAGAATAGATTCCTACTTGGAGATTTTGCTGGTTTTTCTTTCTGGACAAGCTGCCTAGTGATATCCTATCATCTGTATGCGATCTTCTTAAACTGAATCGACCGCAGGTAGACCTGCCAAGACTACCGCTGAGACTGCCACTGCAACTGCTGCCCCCACTTCCACTGCCGTTGGTATTTTGACCATCGAGAAGAGGGCCTTCTTCTCCAGACTGTTTAGCCAGATTGCGAGTGGTTGTTGTCAAGGGAATCTTTGGAGTCATGCTCGGTTTTCTCTTAATGGTACCTAAAAAAAGACACAAGTACAAAAATTTCCTTCTAAATAAATGAAAACAGATGCAAATTCCTCGCCGAAATATTTGCAATGAAAATAAATCATAGTCTCAATTCAAAACTGCTAAATTTTAAATGCAAATATGCTATGATAATACTAAAAAAGGAAGTATTTCTTTGCTTACTTGGACTACTCAGCAAACTACGAAACTGATCGAAAAGAAATCGGAAATGGCCAGTTAATGTTTAAAAACTTACCTACATTAAATCTAGTCCTCATCCCTTTCAAAATAGTTACTTACTTCATTTATACATCAATTGGAGCAGAAATGCTATCATGTCTGGAAACAAGTTATATTATACTAACTTCCTCAAGAACAAACAGGAGCGTTAATTTCTTCGACGATAAAACAAGAGGCTTCAAAAAGAAGGACACAAGAGTTCTCAAAACTACAGAGACTGAGGTAAAGTAAGAGTGCAAGAAAGACAATATTGATAATATTTCGGACATGAAAGATAATGTGTACTAAAAGATCAAATCTTCAGCTGTGAAAAGATGAGAACTGAAGGCTTCAGTCACCACAACACACCAAGTTACAGTGTCCTACTTAAAAATGTTTGGCGGGACGAAAATCGCAGACCTTTTTTAATTTTCATCGTCAGATTTTGGCTCCTTATAATGTTTCTTCATGGAGTCCAAACTGAAGTGTGACCGTTTTAATTCCTCTCAGATCGAACTTGCAATAAAGATACACATTTTACTTATAAGATTTCCAGAAAAAGTGTGTTCCAATCAAGTAGAAGCGGCCTCACAGTCAGACAGAGGAAATTTCAGTTTCTGTTCTGTTCATTTTGTGAATCGTTCAAATACTTATCTTTACAGAGATCAATTATCAGCTCCCAAAGCAGGGCAAGAATAAGACCTTCATAGGCTTTAAGCACTCAGAAGATTTTGGTGTCCCTACATACATTTGTAGTATACCACCTGTTTTTTCCTCACTCCTTGGTCGTGGTTTAGGTGCACCATACATTCTATGGCAAAACAACACAAAGCTTTTTAAGTGCTTCCTTATTTTTTTTTATTTTAGTGAAAGCTTTTAAGCTCATTTTACACGTATATTTTCAGAATGGCTGGTTATTTTTCCCTACTAGGATTATAATTTTTGAGCAGAAGACGTGAAAAGTGTGCAATGCAGTGCCCTCGTCAGGATTTGAACTGCGGATCTTTCGATCGAGTTTTTCTAAAGTGACACAATGTATTGGAAATAGTTAGTACTTATGCATGTTTTGGACACAATTTTAACTGATTAACAGCTTCAGTAACAGTGTGAAGAGCACCAGTGCTTTATCGTGTGATTAACAGATGCCACGCTTCAACTGCAACTTTCTTAGTTAGATGTTGATTTTTTTTTTTTTCAGATTCAGTACTTCTCCAGGATTAATATATGAACAGATTTATAAGAACGACTTCATTGTATATGCGAAGGTCTTGCACTTATGATGATACAGTGCTTGTTATGCTGAGCGCTTATCTGGAATGTAGCTTATCAGAGATCTTGTAAAATGAAAGTTAATGACTTGACAGACGTTTTATGTACGCAAAAGACCAAAAGCAAAAGCACCAAAAACATTGTGAAGACACTCATCGAATAGCTAAATTCTGACAGTAACCATTTTTGGTACTTCCTTATTGTTGCGGCATTTTTAAATGCCAACTTAACGCCACGATTTTTGCCAAGTTCATGTTTACTTCTCGCATACGCTTTGTGGTACTGAGACAGGCAAAGATGGAAAGTACCCTATTCTTTGCATCTTTATCCAACTCCTCTGACGGTAACAAAGAATAAATAAAACTAAAACTATCATCACATTACATGCGCCATTTTTATATCCTTTCAAAATACTGGTCATCTAGTTAATTTGCTTACATTCAGATCCTACTAGAATTATTTTAAGAACTATCACCAAGAAGCTGCGATTCATGAGAGACATTATAATCAAATTGAAACTCTTTGGATAAATCTGCTTATTTCTGCATCCTATCATACAACAACTAAAACATTTTCAACCTGTTAGTTTTTAGTATATTCTGTCGACATACTTCATAACATACGATCTGTAGAATGCAAACTTTCGGCAACATGATATCGTTAGTGTGGGTGGAGTTAATAGTGATGCTTAACTGGTTGGTCACTGGCCCATTTTAAGCGGTTGGTTTAGCAATGTATAGTTCGCTTATATGCCACTAGAAGATGCATGCTGTGTCATAGAAGATGCATGCTGTGTCATAGAAGATGCATGCTGTGTCATATATCAGGAAAAAAAGACGAAAGTTAACTGTGATTTATTATCAACAATTCTGATAATCCTTTAATGCTATTAATTTGTCTAGTTAGATAAATAATTACTTAATTTGAAAAGTGAAATAGTTAGCAAATATATCGTAATAGTGGCATCGCTAGCAGAGTTTAGTTTTTAAAAATAAAACTCCAATAACAAAATAATATATTTTTCATCCTCACTTGGGGGTCTGCCATAAGCTCGGAACCTTGGATGTCCATCTGATAGTTGCGACCCTGTTTGTATATCAATGTAAACATATCTAACGAAACAAAACAGGCTATAAAGCCACTAGTTATTCAATGCAGCAAATGTGAAATACGCGCAATGCCCTCAGCAATATTCGAACAAGAGATTCCCTGATAGCCAGCAGGACGAACTATCCAGTTACTCCACGAAGGGAGAAAGGAATTAGAAAATAACTTATAACGCTCTTAAACAGTTATCATGTACACTGAAAATCAAAGAACAAAAGAAACGTTATTTTTATGACCTAAAAAGCATGAATCTATAATATTATGATAAACATCTGCAGTACAAACTTACCCATTGGGAAGTCAGCATCGAATACCAAATGATCGGTTGTTGGAGTCCCACTACTAGACCGTTCGGATGGACACCCACTGCTGCTGCTCGTGTTTGACTTAGAAGACTTGATGGAATCCTGGCGGCTGATAACCCTTAGTTTTTGCAGCTTTTCCAGAGTGCCCGGCAACTCATCCTCCATCTGGTCCAGGTCTTTCTCTGAGCTGTGGTGCGAACTCTCTTGCTGACTCGTCGCCGTCTTCGCAACAGAAGAAACAGAAAAGCTACGGGCATTGGCCAGTGTCTCCAAGTCCTCTTCCGCTATGTCACGCAAGAGATTTTCATAGTTTTCTTTCAGTTGAAGCCCATACTGAAAGAAAATTTGGACCTTAGTGGGCAATTTAATAAGGGGAAGAAGAAAGAAAATCTAAAAAGATGCAGATTTTAACATTGCAAACGAGGTTTTATTAAGGTTTTTATGCTTTCTCTGAGCTCGCAGTTTACCAACCTGCATGCAGACTTACTCCTGCTAACACATTATTATTATTATTATTGTTAAACAAACTCGTTTTTACTTTAGTGTTAAATCTTGCTCTCTTCGCCCTTTCGCCACATAAAGTTCAATATTAAAATCACAGAATTTCAAAAGCTGAATATTTGTAAAATTCTTTATAGAGTGTTAATTTTTAGCATATATTAAAGAGAATTTTTTGTTTTCTTCTCATTTCATCATATCAATGTTCAGTTTTTCTTAGTAAGATGACTTACACAACATTTTTTGTGTTTTTAGTAATGATATAATATATTTTTAACTTTATTTATAAACAGCACTTTTTTGCACTACCGCCCCATAAAATCCTACGGCGAATCACAAAATGTTTAAAAACAGCCTATATTTAGAATTTCCGATAGAATGTTAAGTGTTGCCATATATCTTTTTATATTCGCACCGTATTTTTTTTAATAATAATACATGATGATAACATTTTGTGGCTGCATTCTTTTATTTGAAACGTTACAAAAAAGTCAGGTACAAAAAAAGTCAGGACCGAGAATAATTGAACCTCTGGTGCCAATAATTAACATAAAATTATACAAATAAATGTATTCATTTTCACGCTTGTCATTTCTGTATTATCTTTCATTCCTTGACATTTCTGTCAACGTTTCTAACACAACTCATGTATGGGCATAACATGATTTTGTTTATTAGCGCATATTATTAAAACTGTGTAATTAAAAACTTTTTTTAATACTTTATACGTTTTAGTGTACAGAATACATACGGGATAGCAAAAAAGGGGAAAAATCACTGCCTCTGAACACTAAAAAATTTTTTCTAGTCTAACCTAAAATTTCTTTTAATTCGTTTAAATTCCTCTTTGTTTCAGAAATTCGATCACATCATCACTCTTATTAAAATCGTAGTTCTACTAATAACGAAGTATTAAATCTTTTAATTTAAAAATTTATCTTCCTTAATAATTAAAGAACATCTAAAAAAAAGCAAACAATATTTGGAAACCATTAAAATTCAGCAAATTATGTTGGAAGTTCTGAAAAGCGCCTTTATTTTAAAGATTATTTTTCATTTTATATGTCAGTTGAAAGATCTTGTGATGACTGGCTTTGCAAATAAACAAGGACATGTGAAAATAATTCAACATTAAACTTTGAGGGGGGGAATCTTACTGCAGGTACATATAGTAGGTCTAATTTGTTTTCGGACACTTAAATTTTCCAGTTTTATTTAAAAATATCAATTACTGTACTAGCAAAATAAGTTTATTTTTTTTCCATGTATGCTACAAATCATCACTTTTAAAACTTGCTTGCGTTGGAAAATATTATTCAAAGCGTTTTTGGTTTTAAAAAAGTATTTAAAAAGTTCTGAAAATGAATTCAATATTCGGACTCTTTGAATAAACTGGCTATATTTATTAAATATAGAAAAATTAAAGACATTCAATATTTTTTGGATATCCTTCAGCTAAAATTACATTTTCCATGCATTTTGGCATGGACTCAACTAACTTTTTCTGCACAAGAATGTTCCATTTTGTACTGATCCTATGTAAGAACTGCGTTTAATAGAGCTTTCAAAGAATTGCCATGCTGTCCTACTCTTTCTACAACTCACTCCATATATGTTTCAGAGGATTTAAGTCTGGAGAATATGGAGAAATTCTGACAACTTCATGACAATTGTATAATAACCGCGTATGCTTAGTGTTTACATGTTTAGGTGTTTTCAACAGCTTATGTTTAGGGATTAGTGTTTAGTGCCGTTTTCCTGATAGAACTTGAATTTAGTTTGCATTCCAACATTTTTGCACATGCTTTCATATTTCCATTAAGAAAGTTTATATACTTAATATATGAATATTCTAAATGAATAGGAGATTTACTTTATTTTTTTGACGGGTTGGCATTGCTTAGGAATGCCTAGAAAATGTAATGAAATGTGAATTGTTTCATACATATCTAGCCAGTTTTCATCATTCTATAAATTTCCTAGGTATTGTATAGAATGCCAGCTTGCATATACTGCCGGTAACACACAAACACGTGTTTACATAAGTTTTTATCCAGGCTTTATTTTTGAGTCCTTTCATCGTTAGACTTATACATAACTGAAATATATGGGTGGGCCACATAAAATGTTTTCAGAAGCACCAATATACTGTTTTAAATCATTTTTGAGTCTGGAAGTACATCTCAAAGTCCAATGGCTGTGAAAATAAAGGTCAGGTAAGGACTTTTGTGAACAAAGTTAAGCAAGACGTTAATTAATGTAATTAGAAAACTAGAAAATAAATATAAATTGGTTAAATTTCTATATTCATAATTTTCAATCCTAAACAACTGCAAATTTGTCCATCACCCAAGTCGTTAATTGTTCGAATTAGCATTGGTTCACTTTACCTCGGATCACTTTTCAATTGCAACTTAAGAACAATACTTAATATAATAATACATAGCAATATCATACATAAGTGTTAAAAATCTTACCTTGGCTATGCGTATACCCATCATCCACTGCCTGAGAGTCATTTCGTCATCCGCACAGAGGTATTTGATGTATTTTGAAGATTTCGTTTGAATCTGGGGATGCTTGGGGAAAAATAAAAAACAAATCAGATTCAGATTACTTAGATACACAAAAAAAATAATATATATAATTTTTTAACTTCGTATTCAAAAAATTCAAAGCGTCAACTGATATACATCAGAATGTTCAATTTTACATGCGAATGACATAAACATCATGTAAGGATCTTAAGTTTTACTAACTTAAGTTTTACTTTGTTTTAAAACTTTACAATCTTTTCTTATTTTCCACTTCCGGCCAGAATTAAATGTTTTAACTTGTTTATGCAAATTGTACTTGCTAACGCCCAAGTATTTAAGTTGTGGCTTTTGCCAAGAGTTAGAGAGAGAGAGAGAGAGGAAGTGAGCCGCCTTGCCAATGCATTCTTACGAGTTTTCAATCAGTTGCTTCTTGCCTTTAAGGCCAGAGGTTTAGTTCTCTTGATATTTCAAACGTATTGTAGTTTCAGCAGTTTGCGTACTACCTACGTACCTTTTAAAAAGGCCAGTCTTAGTGTTAGGCATTTGTAAACTAATTCAAAGTTTGTTTTTAGTTATAGTTAGTAGTTTTATATTTTTACGTTCAGACCACAAATGGTTGGTCTCTGTATCCCTAAATACGGGAGCACCTGTAAATTAACAGAGAATAAAGGGTTCAGTACACCCTTCCTGCTTGTGCCGTCTATTCCACACATACTTGAACATAGCTTTAGTAAGCTCCCTGTTCCTATTTAGGACACGTAATGTTTCCAAAGCAAGTAAAAAGACATACTAGTCTTGACAATCAGACGCAAGAACAAATTTATACTGATAATTTTCAGTTACATAAAATTAGCAAAGATTATAGGGTGAGAATAAAATAATAAAACATTATTCTAAAAGATGCATTCGTTGGCTTTCTTACAAGTGTTATCTTACAATTCTAAACGAAACACATATGTAAGGTAAAAATATGACAGCAAATTTTTAATTTAAATTGGCAATAGTTAACTTATATTCTTTATTTTAATTTATCATCTCCCTATTCAAAAAATTCATCATCTCCCTATTCAAAAAATAGTAATTGCTTATAGTAACTTTTTCCAGACTGAGTAGTAGTCCATATCATATGACTTTTACATAACGCTGGCGACGTAAATAGAACTAAAACTAAAACAGCCATTAATAAATTTACAACATTATTAATTATCTGAAACCGAAAGTAACCCATTCTGAATTAAGATTTTATCCCGATCACGACGCGTTTTGCTTCTGCGCTTAAAAATCCTAGCTAGATTGTTGCTTACTACTCCCTTCTTATTGCAACCACATCAAAAATATTAACGTTATGTTCTGGAACGGCCCAATTAATGTGCCAAGATAACTGTGGCCACAAATGCCAATAAAAATAACATAAATGTTTACAATCTGCCATCATTCCATCTTTATTCTTCATTATGGATCTTCTATGTATGCTTCAATATCTAGCTACCAGTCAACATTCCTAAATTATCACATGTATATATTATTAAGCTATATCAAGCATTTAAGCGGTACTAAGGCAAAACAATGAATCTGTAAAGCAGTGTTTCGAGGCAAACGAATTCGGAATAAAGTAATAATGACCATTCGATCAGTATGTAGTCTGCAAAGTTTGCTTCCACACCGAAAGACTTCCATTCGAACTCCGGATAAGACTTGAATATTTGCGAAAATAGCGTCCTTTCGATATTTCGAAGTGAAGGCAGTTAAAATCCATTGTTGCGAATGTCTTTTTGAAGGATTGGTGGTACAGAAACAAAGGATATCTCGAAGCTTGTTCCTTGAAATATTCTTGATCAAAACTGGGATGGAGCTGTGCAAAGTCAAGGTTATTACTAATACTTTAATCGCCTTCAGTATATTTTACAGGTATGCCTGTACAATCATAAAGTGTTCCCCCCCCAGCAAGTAATATAAAATTAGTTGTGATTCTGCCAGGAATCCAACACATGTTTGAATTCCTAAGTGCATGCGTTAACTCACAAGAATGTCAGTACTTTCTGATTCCCAACCACCAACCAAAAGTCATGAAAAAGTATTGATGAGAGAACGTGCCATGTCACCAGAAGTCATGTGGGAATCTGCAGATATGCACCTAGCACATATGTGTTTGAGTACACGTAGATTTTCACTTTTGAAATTCAACGGTAACTTTTCTGAGTTATGTTTCTTTTCACGTTAAACATTGTTGCGAGCTACAGGATTGTTGATGTTTCTTTAAATCATAAGTCTAGATAAGCAGGAAGAAATGTACAATTATTTGGAAAATAAGCAAAATAATAGCTGGAAACAATTCAAGGAGAAAGCAGATATTTAGCAATTCCTCCTTAACACGTGAAATACACAGTAAAATTCCTCAAATCGCTCTCACGGTAAACCTTAACTCGTGATTCAGCTAACAGCTAATCTCACAGCTGATTGATTCACAACTTCCAAGCTCTCCGACCCGTATTTACACCCTGCAACATGTGCGCTCTGGAAACGTCTGAAAGAATTGGTCGTGGAGCTTCAAAAATGGGTTTTCGCGAATCTTCCAGAAAATCGCCAAGTTAGTGAGAAATCGCTAAATGTTGCCAATGTCCTTCAGGAATAAAATTGCCTATATCTCACCTTCTAATTCAGCTATTTTAGCTGCTTCATTACAGAATTTAGAATTTATTTAGAACTGAAATATCAATTATTCTGTGCAACAAACAAACACTTAAATATACGTCACAAATTAGATAAAGCACAAAATAAACCATAAAATTACCATTCTAAAAGTAATAAATAAACAACGCTTATCAAGAATCGACACAAAATGCAAGAATGAAATTAATAGTCCTTCTGGGCAAATTGCCCCTTTGGACTAAAGATCTGAAAGGTTTCAGATTTTAAATTACATCTAAAAGGGCGTTTTTCTAACGTTTTGTGTGTTACCTTTACTTATTAAATGTCATGTTCTTCGCACTTAAACCATAAAATTCAGTTCAAGAGCAATATCCCAAAATAATTTTAAAATGAGCATACCTTTAGAATTTCCAATACACAATCTCGTGCGCTGGAGGTGGGTGGTTTTTTTTTTTTTTTTTTTTTTTTTTTTTTTTTTTTTTTTTTATAATGTTTCTATTGAAGAAGTGATTCTGTAAAAACAAAATGGAATTAATTGCCTGGGAGAAGTCTTTCAAGGGAAAGGAAAAATGTTCACGAGTTTTCGGTGTGGGTGGGCGTAATCATATCATGTGGAACCAGACTGTCCTTAATTTCTCTTTAACGTTCGCTTGTACAAGCACTTTAATTTCATTATTAATAATCTTTAATAGAACATTTGTAACTTTTGCGCTTTTTCAAATTTAAGTTTTTGAGTTCACTTTGCACACTGCTACAAACATTAATTCACCACAGATTGGAACGACACTGAAAAGAGTTAAAGAGCTGAACATAAAAATTTTCATAGAAATATATGTTTTAATGTAAAAGATTAACATGAGAGCTAAACACATCAAAATCATCAAGGAAAGATGAAGAAATTGGGAAGAAAGATTTTTCTACCTTGATCGCAAATCCGAATTCAGTCGGCGACTTGTACTTTTTCTTCCAGCCAAAACCCAGGTAAACATTGTTCATATCGAAAGTAGTCAAACACAGAAGATCTTTTGATAACTAAAGAGGAAAAGAAAGACAAGATTATACTAAATTGCAAAAGAATTTCACGACAATAAATAATTTTAGGCAAGTGAAGATGGGAAAAATATATTTCTAATTCCAGAGTAATATGTCATTTTAAATACATGCTAAATCAGCTCTTCTCAAACTTTTATCAATTGGAAATTTTTCAAGTAAAATTTCAAGTGAATTTTCAAATTTTCATTTTGTCCCAAGTGAAAATTGTGTTCTTTTATGAATTAGAATGTTCTGCGGACCACTTTACACTTGTCCCTTTCGAAAGCAATATTTTACTAAATGTTACTACCAATATACTCATATTTTTTAAACACCATTAATTAAAATTATTAGTATTAGGTAACAAAGTTAATATAAACAAATTTATATTCAGTTTTATTAATTAAAGGCTATTACGAGTTTCGAGAATCTTTCCCTTCTTAATTAAAAATTGAGTAAATGTTGACACACATATTGAGGAGCTGGATGAGACTGCCCGGTAACTGTTCCATGTATGGATGTATGCTGGTAAGAAGCACATCAGTCACAATGTTTTAAAGACTTGAATGGGAAATCCGAAGATAGGATAACCAGTAATAAATTTCATAAAATGTCAGTATTGGGAGAAAAGTGATAGACAACTGCCATATGTAATTTTAAAAAAATGAGATTTTCAGCTATACTTTGGTATACGCAGCTAACTTTTTTTTTCCCGCAGTGCACCTCAGTATACGTCCTTAATCCGTTTTAGGTCCTTAGACGACTTTACCACATGAACTTTTCCAGTAAGATATAAAGGGAAAAAAATTAATTCATTCTTATAAAAAAATTCTGCTGCTATTATTAAAACACTGTTTAATACTAAAACACAAGCACAATGGGTGGGATATATAGTATACAGAAAAGAAGCACTGCACATAATTCTTCTATTATTTATCCAGAGCAAAAGTATGTTTTAACCCTGGTCTAACGTCTCTGATCTTTGTTCGGTGATCGATTTCTGCCCCCTTCGCAACGGTAGCCGACTGAAAAGCGTCTTTGTTTTACGCGACTGTAGACATCATCATACTAGGCATACGGTATGCAACAGTCGAGTCCCCGGAGACGCATGTCATCTTCATACTTTTCAATAATTTCTTTTTTCATGTCCATAATGATCCTAACCATTTACTTTGTTGCTTGTCTCTTCTCAAAAACTCACTATTAATAGATTTATAGAACATTTATGCGAAAAAACACAAAATCACTTGAAAATTGAGAGTTATAGCGAGGGTTGTTTACTGAATAGTAGAACAGGTGTTCCGATACTCACTGGCAGTCGCACCATTGTCTCGAAAGACGTAAGCAATAGTAGCACGCGCAGTCCTGACTCGAGTCGTATTCCAAAAATATTTCCTATATCAAACAAGAATTTTCGCATCTAAACAGGACTTACAGCAAATTGGAACTATTTCAGAGCGGATGTACACGGAAGTTCAATAATAATTTAATTTTTCCAAAAGAGAGAAAAACTTTCGGACGAGGACGCTGCGTTAACTGTAGAATACATAATATCTACCAAAAATAACGAAACGGCTAGTTTTGAGTCAAATAACTGAAACTATAAATCTTACCTTTGATTTTCCTTTGGGGCAATAATAAAGCCCTGAAGCCCTCAAGACGAAGAAATGCTTTTTCCAAGCTTTTTTGCCATCACTTTTCAAATAGAGAGGGCCCTCCACTTCGGGTACGCCCACATTTGATGTTGAAAAGAATTCCTGGAATCGAATTGAGTCAGAAAACAATGCAATAAAAATAAAGTTTTTCAAACAATCTTCTAAAATTACTACAACTGATAACACAACAAGAAATGTAAATTCTTACATCGAGCAACACGTTTTTGGCATCATCGTCCAACTCCAGATGCTTTTCGGAGGAAGTGCCGCCTAGCAGATAATTCTGGAACAAAACATTTGTTTCCAACTGAATTTTTGAAATGTTTAATTAAATAAAGAATAATACAAGCAATTCATGATTTCCTGAATCAAAATAACCAAATGGGATAAATTAAAAAAAAAAAAAAAAAAAAAAAAAGAAGAAGAAGAGGGGATAAATACAAAAAAAAAGGGGGGATTTGCCGTATATATTATTTATATATAATTGTATTGCTTTTTCATGCATAGTAATTCTATTTTTATACAAAGTCGCGCTTTCGAGACATGAAAACGCAATTTGGAATGTTCGTATCATAAACGGAAATCGTGATGTTCCGTTTATGATACGATATGATGTTCTATGAGTTAATTTAAACTTATACAACCATATAGTCAAAAACCAGTCGTTCTTCACTTTAAACTGCAGTGATATCGTTTTTGTCTTTTCCGTTAGCACAAACTCTATTGCTGCTATTTGCTAGTGTATACGTCCAAGTGTTTTCTCTTTGAAAATCCACCTTTTTTGAAGTAGATTCTCGTTTAAATTTTTGCACCCCCCCCCCAAATTTCCTTTTTTCCTTCTACATTTGTTTTCAATTCTGACACAAGAAAATTGAGATTTTTCGATTGTTACACTTCCATAAATTTTGCATTCCTGTCAAATTTTTTAAAATGTCAGTTGCATTAAATGCGTTTCAGCTGAAGATAGCCTCTAGACATTTTAACTATAAATAAAGTTTAAAGCAAAGTCCAAAGGATAAATATTTGAATTAAAAGATTTTTGTTAAATGAGAAAAAAATAAACCATTCCAGCAGCACTTATCCTGTACCACCGAGTAACCCAATTCTTATATCCAGTGCAAAAAATCTTAATCATATTATTTAGAGTTGTTAAGCCTAAAAATTTCTATATTAGAGAAGATGTTTTTTATATACTAATCTACAACACGAGAGAAGATTACTACTTAAAACATTCTTTCTAAGAAGAATTAATGTAAAAATTCATGTTTATAAAGCTGGTGTTTTTTAAAGCTGGGACATGACCCAAAGTGTCAAGTTCTTGTTTGTTTAAAACATTGTGAAAATAAACATCAAACGAACTTTTCTCAGTCTTAGAGGATTAAATTTAAATTAAGTTAAAGTAAAGTAGCAGACGACAACAAGGCGAAGGTAAAAATTTACTCTTACAAATATTAAAAAAAAAAAAAGAAAAAAAGAAAGAAAGAAAGAAAAAAGGAAAGAAATTTCAAAAAAGTTTAAAATTTGAATAATATCATCTATAATTAAAAAAATAGCTTTTCATAAAGTATTAATAAATATTTATTATGCATCATTGAGGGAAAAATTTCATATAATTGATTCTCTGTAAAAATTTATTTTAAATTTAAGGTTAAAGATTAATAACAGCTGTGGCAATTCACTGTAACAAAATCCATAAACTACATTTGGCGTTATTATCGCTCAAAAAAAGACGCCAAATTTCAAACGGCGCAAATATGTAAATTCCTGTATATCATAGAAAATTTTGAATAAAAAAATAAAATTTGACAGGTATGCTTACACCTACTTTAAGATGATGGTAAAAATTTTATAGATTACTATTCAAAATTTTTTCGAAAAATTTATAAAAATTATTTAAAAATAAATCACAAAAAAGTGGGTGAATTTTATTTGGAATGAACCTAAATTTCGAAATGTGAAAGGAAGAATAAAAAAAGTTTAACAGAAAATGAGATATTAATAAATATAGTATACTGAATTCAATTAACACTGAGAAGCTAAAATTTTGAGAGCTAATTTTTTAAAAACTACTCGTGCGATTTTTACAAAACTTAGTAGTCTGGCACAGTTTGAATCATAGAATCGAAATATGGAAAACAAATGACATGTCATCAGAAAAAGTCCGATTTTGTGTCAAAATACCTATGTTAGAATGATGCTATATATATATATATATAATATATATATCCTAAGTCGCGCTTTCGAGACATGAAAAACGCAATTTGAATTTCGTCAATCGGCCCAGTAGAACGAGAGATATAGAATTGCCCCCCCCTTTTTTGCGCAGTGTACATTAGTTAACAGTATATAATTAACAAAGTAAATAACTAGCAGCGTACATAATTTTAAAATTAACAATGTACAGTAATTAGTAATTTCATAATTAATTTATTTACTAATAAATGCACACTCTCTATTAGAAACTAAACTGACATAATTGAAAAATTTTTTAGAGGAAGCATGCTCGAATCAGCTGCAACAAACCTGTGGATTTTTAAATAAATCGTATTTCTCCCCTCTGTCTAGAAAAAACAAACGGTTGCACGAATCCCGTGTCCACAGCAATAGATTTTCGACAACATGCTCGTGGTCTTCATAGACACGTTCTGAAATTAAAAAAAAAAAAAAAAAAAAAAAAAAAAAAAAAAATATATATATATTAACATAGAATGCTATAAGAAATTCGTGTTTACTTGTCAAATTTTTTTTTCAGACAACTCTTTCTTAATTACAGGTTCTTTTATTTACTTCCTTGCACGAAGTAAAGAAGTATTATAATCATCAAAAATTTCCGATATCATATTTCAACGGAAACATACATTTTGACCGTTCGCGAATCCATTTGGGAGACTTTTTAGCGTCACATCTTTTTGGGAACTTTTTTTGCGTGACACATAAATTTAAAAACACTTTTTTTTTTTCCAAAATGGCTTGTAAAATGGAATTAAAATTAATTCAAAAGGGATAATTTCGTGACGTCCCTACGTACGTACGTATGTTTGTATGTATTTCGCATAACTCAAAACGATTATCCGTAGAAAGTTAAAATTTGTATATGGAGCTACTATATCATCTAGTTGCGCACAAACCTTTTCTATTGCAACCATATACAAAAATATCTCCTTACCCACACATATATATAACTACTGGTCCCCTTTAATCTGCTTACAAGTCCTACCCCGGCCTTTAATTTCGCAATCATTGCTCTTAAATTCCAATTACAGCAGTGTTTTAAATGACGAAAATATTCATGTTTTGGTAATGTCAAATTTAAAAAAAAAAAATCAATTTTGAACAAATAATGAAATATAATTTTGAATGCGGTCTCCCGATTTCTATACTTAATGTTTGGGAAAGGTTTATACTCGTTATGAAAAAATAAAATTATAAAAAGTTTGACTCCTGTAAGACAAAAATTGGCCGGGATATTTAATTCCGAAATTTGGAATTTTTTAAGTCATTTTCAATTTGCCTCAAGAGATCGGTCATTCATATTAGAATAATTCGAAGAAATCAGTTTAAATGAAATAGAGCAAAAATTGTGTGTAATTTAATAGGCTGTACAAGGCCACCTGTAAAGTTCTTATGTTAAACTAACCAGTTATTATGATTTGGATCTTTATTTTAACGTCTTCTTTTTGTATTTCTCAACAGAATAAAAATTAGTCTACAGTGTTGTAGAGTAACATTTAATTTAACTCGTTAATTTAAGTACCTAGTCTATAGTGTTGTAGAGTACCATTTAATTTAACTCGGTAATTTAAGTGCCTTTCTTTTCAATTCTTATTTCATTTCCCTGCCAGAATGCAAATTTCTACCACGCGCGATATTCAGATGGGTTAGAAAGGAGTTAGTACTATTTAAGACAAGGTTTTGGAAGATGAAATCATAGCGTGTTTGGCCTGCTTGAAGGCCACGTTGCTAACGTTGATTCTCTAGCGATTAGAATGCTCCGCCGTTGAGTTATTCTCGCCATTAAGCTTGTTTCCGCCGGCTTTGAGTCAGAGCCCGCTTGCGCGATGTTAACTGTTAAGCCGTTAGGTTTATGCTTAACTTTTAAGTTATTCATTACCTTTTGAATTAAGCCAAAAATGTTAGCTTTTGTAAGCACGAGTTGTTAAACTTTGAAATAATAAAGGGTTCTATATACTCTTCTCCAGACTTTGTAGTCGCGACATTGAAGCCTGTTGGTGATAATTCACGAGCTGACTTCAACGCCAGGAAAATTTTATGATAGCTAAGAAAACATGACATTACAGTGTATATAAGCTGAGGCCTTGGGATCTTAGAGAGTTCTTGGCACTCGCCTAGCTCCAGATAAATGCAATCTCGGCTTTGGATGCTCTACAGCCAATGCTTCAAACTTTAGAGCTGTTAGATAATTTGAGCCAGGTTATAGCTTAGACTACTGATCAACGTTTAAATTGATTCGACTTGTTGATTTAATTTGCATTGCCATAAGCAGTGGCTATTTTTAGCACGAGCCAGTTTTATTAAAAATTCAGTTTAATAAAAGGTTGTTTAAGTCTCTTGTACTATTTTAGACACAGCGATAACTGGCCACCTGTCTATTAGGCTTATAAGACTAATGTTCCCGTAACAGGCTATGTGTAATCCTATACACTAACTTGAAAGATTTGCAAGGATTCATAAAGAGACTCCGTTTTTATTAAAATGGTAAAAAATTAATTAATTTTTTTATATAAATAATCTTATTCAGAATCAAATTAACATGTTAACGTATTATCTGTTTCCTAGGTTAGGCACTGAATCTATTATCACTAAACCTACCTACAGAAATGGTTATCTGCTAACACAACTAACAATCTATCTTTTAATGTGTTTCTGTTTATGATGATCTGAATGTTATTATGACCTAAAGATGCTGCTTACTTCGAAAACATCAGTCACAATTTCTGGGTTGAGTTAACTGCTCTTCTACATACATAGGTGCCGTGCCTAAAATTTCATTTCTACATAAATAATCACGAAACGGTCCTTATGTCTTACCCCGTCTACTGTCAAAATTCTCTACCGTAAAACCCATGAAAGTTGGTGGAGATACCGCCAAAGTCATGCTAATCATTCCAGTGGAATTTTTAAGAAAATTACGTCTCTTTATTCTATAAACCACCAGTATTCGACATGCTTCTTTCCTGTGCTTCGTAAAAAGACATTCGAAGACTCCTACTGTTTTGTTAGGCCCTCATTTAATTCGAAGCTCTGCTTATACCGCTATCAATACAAACTTCCAGCAGGTAACTGTTTCAACCTATTACTCTTTAGTCGGCCATATCTAGCTCTTTTTTTTCTCCTATTCAGGAAATATCAAGTTTCTGGGCTAGCTGTAACTGAATCGGACTACATTGAAAACGCGATTCTAAAACCATCGAACCATATTCCTTTCCAAATAGACATTCCGTTGTTACAATTTTTAACGTTGCATTCTTATTGTTTATCTGTTTTCAAACAAAGTACACTGCGGGGGGCGGGAGGGGGACAGTTCTGTATCTCCCGTTCTACTGGGCCGATTGACGAAATTCAGCTTGCGTTTTTCATGTCTGGAAAGCGCGACTTAGGATATATATTAAATTTATATGTAGCATAGTTCTAATATAGGTATTCTGAAACAAAATCGGACTTTTTCGGATAATGACATACAGATTTTTTTTCCATCTATCTCAAATATGTTACCTATAACTAAGGTATTTGTGTCAAAATAGCTAAGTTAGAACAATGCTATACATAAATCAGATATATATCTTAAGTCGCGCTTTTGAGACATGAAAAACGCAATTTGAATTTCGTTAATCGGCCCAGTAGAACGGGAGATATAGAACTGTCCCCCTCCCTTTTTTTGCGTAGTGTACCATATAGTGTATATTAATATATATATATTTAACGGTAGGACTCCATAATCTTGAAAATAATCATCTGTTTGCTGTTCTGTAGAAGGCAGGTCCCAAAATTTTATCCTCCCCCCCCCCAAATCCCGAAAAAAATAGAGGGAGAGGGCAGTAATAGTTAATTTATACCCTTTTCATAAAAGTGGCGTATCGAGAATCAATCAGAGTTGCAACAAACGAAAGCGGAGATTTTACGATGTGTTGTGATGTGCACAACACACTCGTAACATGACTGGCAAACCCGTATCCATAATTGGCGCTAAATCGTGACTCGTACCATATAATTCGTATCCATAATCGTAATTCATATTCATAATTGTCGTTAAATCGCGCTGCTTGGCGACAGTTTCACGATCTACAGGATAATACGTAAGTACTCGCGAAACTGCATTATTCTGTACTGTCTCAGAAAATAAGCCCCTTTTTTACACAAATTTTATTGTGGTTCAATTCAGTTCTTTGCAAATGGATTCCACACTTATTAGAATAAAGCACAGTTCTGTATAATAGCACAAATACTCCTTGATTTGTTTTGATTTAATTGACGACATAACAATGGTGTTTTAGTGAATTAAATCTAAATATTAAACAGATACTTACGGAGGTAAAGTTCGGGGATATGTTCCACCAACGCCCACTTTGGATCCATGGCCACGTGATTCTTTTCCGCCAACAGCTTGCACACGTGACCCACCGTCATGCGTTCGTCTATCAACAAGCTCTTGGCGCTATTGTCGGCACTGAATGCTTTGATGAAAAGCTGGATAGGGAAAAAAAATGTAAGATCTTTTTAGCTCGCTCTGATGGATACTTTATTCATGTGTATGATACTCAAGAGTTAAATTTTACCACAGAGTTCCAGATTACAAGGTTGGATTAAAACTACTTGTACAAAAATGAAATTCTTGATATAGAATATTTAACCCAAAAAATTTCTGGTCTCTACAATGAACAATTTATTGCATACTCCATGAAATTATTAGCACTTAATAATAAATAATCTGTACTTCAGAAGTCAAATTTTGTTTTCTTCTTTTTACCTTCCGCCAAACTATCCATGAAAGTAAGGCATAATATAATAATAATGTTTTAGTCCGAGCACTCTATAAGGCAGTGTTTCCAGTCCGAATCTTCGCTAGTGATTTTTCAGTAAATAAGCACCAGTTAGGGTCAGCGTAAGACGTTTTAGACTATTGTTATAATGACGTCTGTGCGCCCGTCTGTGTGTGACGATTAACAACTGACCGTTGTAGTAGTATTCCTGACCATTATGTCATGTCTTGCCCTCTCACAGAGGCATGACACATGAGGCTTCCTGATATAGACATTCCCTATAAATGCTTCTTCGTAAAGCAGCCGGCTCAGCTCAAGAAGCAAAAAGCATTACGAACAAACTTGGAGCATTAACACTGTATTTATGTATTCCATAATAATAGTGTATTGACTTCAATTCACAGAGATTTAGAGCATCTATGCACACTGGTTTCCAGTGGCTTCTGCAAGAAGTCCATCTTGAGTCAGTGCGCAAAGTAAAATTAGTCTGGGAACACACAAAACAAATGTAAATATGACATAATAACATCTAAATGTAAATGGTTATGTATATTTGTAACGGATACATTAATGCGTGGGTGTAATAATTCAACGTGATATTATAAATAGAATATTGTACAGCGGATTGAGAATAGTATATTGTACAGCACATTGTGTATAGTACCCCGTAAAATATAAATGCCCATAGCATGTAGAGCTATGCTTTGAACAGCATACAGGATAGTAACTATAACTGTAGTTCTATAACTTACTCAAGAGTATTACAAGTACTCAAGAGCATGGAATGTAAACAGTATAATGTGTATGGCATCAAGTACAGTATATAATGTATCCAGTCCATGTAGAGCACGTGATGAAAGGTACTGTGCAAAGAAATTATAAATATTGCTCTGTATGAAATGTATAGTGCTTCATGTATAGAATTCTGTGATTAAAAACAAAGTCTATTGCCACACAAGGCACATGTACTTTGCATGTTATGATCAAAGCAATAAGTAATCATTGCATATTTACGCACTCTGTAACCTTTTTTTCAATGTGTATTTTTAACAGCTTGTTAAAGTTCTTTGTATTAAGAAATATGTTGTATATAATCAAAAATTATTACCAAGTGCCTATATTTGTATAATTAAGAGTAATGTTAAATGTAATATGTAGCTAATAATTGAAATGTATTAAGTGCATAAATGAATTTTATAACGGTGTCTTAAATACAGTGTACTATTCAGTGTAATATTTATTACGAAAATTATAGTGTATTGAGTATTTTATATATATAGCAATGTGTTAACATGCAATACAATCAGGAGAATGTTTAATTTCAAAATTATTTTTTAGTATATGCAACAATGAGTTTTTACCATAACATTATTCAATCAAATGTAGAATAGGATGTACTGTGTCCTCAAATCTGTTACCTATATTTTGTATATTCTACTTTATGCAACGAATGAAGAATAATCTGATACTTTGCCCTTGTATAACCATATAATGTCTTGATTTAGGAGTATAGCTTTGGATAGTTCCGGGACCCGGACGATACCTGACTAGTGTATGCAAGCTGCCTGGGTATCTGGACCTGCTCTCACCTGTCACCTGTGTATGCTCATTCCCCCACACCACGATAACTCTTACATCAAATTCTCCAAAAATTCCTATTTTCCGTATTTAAGCTCTCAGCATTCATCTAAAACAGTTGATTAGATTTTGCGATAACCGGAAGTAGTACTTTATTTTTAAAGCCCATCACAGTTTTGTAGCAATTAACATGTTATTGCATACATAAACCATAAAATATTCTTGCAGTTGAACGAACATTGTTTACTGATGCCTAAGTATCGAGAGGATATACTCGGAGATCAAAATGAATTTAGATTTGGGGAGACTAACATACATGGTATAACGTACATTTGTGGAGAAGTAACATACAAGAAAATTAATTAATGATATTCGTTTCAGAGTATTAGTTTTAAATATATTATAAACAATTTTATTTAATAAAATTAATTAAATTATATTTTATTTATTCAACTGCCCAGTAAAATACAAATTTTAGTAAAAAAATTATAAACGTACAAACATTTAATTATGTTGATATAAATTTAGAAAAGCCAGTTTTTACACATGGCTAGTTATACCTAAAATATAACGCAAGATTTCGTATTATAGAGCTTTCTATTCATTGGAACAACCATTTACGTTTTGCTTGCAAAACGATCCACCGGACATGATATTTTACTTAAAACTCATTGCTATTTAAAACATGGAATTGGCGGGAAGTATGGGCTAGCGAAATCAGATTTTTTAAGCTATTTTTATATCAGTTAAAAATGGAAAGAATCCTAGATTTTCTTGAATTTGCATTCGAAGTCTAAAATGTTCTCGAATCTCTTAATTCATTAACATAATAATAATAATAATAATAATAATAATAATAATGTACTTAATACTAAAAACATTTACTTAATACTAAAAGTTTTCAATTAAATCAAAATTTTGGAATATTCGTTAAGGCAAAAACAAATTTAAGAATTCCTTTTTTAAAATACACTTATATTCATTCTGAAGATATAAACGAAACTCAGTAATTGAAGTACATAATTAAAAATCTTCAATCTTGAGGATCACCTCCTTGAATTCCTGACTAAAAACCTATATCAAAATAAAATCCAAAACTTCTGAATTTTAGTATTAAAGACATTTATATTGACGGGAATAGAGTATTAGATTTGAATTAGAACAGATAAACCAGAAGTGATACTTTACTTGAAGCTCTGGACAGATTTTCACGAAAAAACATATTATGATATAATTCAAAACTTATCACGTTTGTTATTTAAAACTCCTATATGATTGAACAACACACTACATGTTGTCAGTAAACTGGTCAGTAAACTACATGGTCTACTGAAATTACACGTTCTTGAATACTTCTACTGAATGCCAATAAAACAATTTTTTTTCGAAAGTTTTGAGATAGTAATGAATATTCAGGTCAGGAATTAAAGGGTCGAATAACGAAAAATGTTTGAAGTATTCTAACATCGACTTTTACCCGGATACAAATGCACCCTCTCTAAAGTCAGGAAATAATGACAACTGAGTATCTTTTAACATGGCTTTCCGGTACATCTACTATCACAAAAAAAGTAGTCAAGAAAAACACGCAAGTCTTTTCGGAATAAATGATTTGATAGTTTGTAAGCAAACAATTCATTAATAGATACCAGCACTTCAGTTTAAACAAGGCACTTCAGTTTACACAACAATAACACAATAACTATAAATGACAAGTAATTACATGATAAATCATAGTTAAGATATTAAACAGAATGCATAGAAGAAAAAACAAATATGCCTACCTTTTTGATACTAGCTTCTTTCATTTTTTCGAGAGCGATTTTGATTTTTTCGGCCTTTAATCGGGCAGCCTGCTCGACCTGTTAATAATAAAAATAATTTGTAATAAATGGGAAAAAAATGAAAGGGTTCAAATTTAACGATCGCCCAAAAGGGCTCTTTTAAAGCCGAACAGGATTTCTCACTAGAGATTATCGATAGACATGGTCCAGGTAGAATAGCAAAACATTTTATAGGACATTATATAAGGATGCATTTAGACTAACATGCGAACGTTATATATCACTTCTGGATATTTCAAAACTGAAAAATATGTAATGTAATTCCATAAAAACTGAAAAATATGTAATGTAATTGAATGCTTTTAATCAGATGAATTAAATGCATTTTTATTTAAATCATTCAGATTCACAAGTAGGAAAAGTCTGATGTGTACGCCACATGACTTCCTTGTACGGAATATTAAATCATAAGCATTTTTTCCTGCATTTCATTTAAACTTATTTCCTCAAATTTCGCTAGAAATATATTTCTCATTCAGTCAATTCAGTTCTCACTTCGCTACAAGGAAAACACACACAAAAAAAAAACTAAAAATATCTATATTAAAAATTGAAAGATATAGAAAAACATAAAACACCAAATACAGTTAAAAGAATTAAAAAACAATTTTTACAATTAAAATTACAGTTTCTATGCAAAAACAAGCTATTCGACCAGCGGGCAAGAAAACAGATTTTTCGGTGCACAAAGCTGAAAGCTTACTTTTCATGTCACTCGCCAAAAAGACACTGAAGGTGTAGAAACGGACTTAATTTATTGTGGACGCTATGCTGAGTCAATATATGGGATAATTTAATTAATTAAATAGTAATTCCAGAATGGATTAAGCATAATTTAACTCACAATAATAAAAGAAGACGTTACTTTTTTGTTGCGAAATTTAGTTTCTCTAGATTGGCAACAAATCCACTATTCTGATAAATTTCAAATGTAAACAAATATGGCTGCTATAGTAAAAAAAATTAGGCTTAGCCGAACTTAAAAAACTTTTAAATTGTTGATAATTCTACAACTATAACATGCATGGTAACTAAAGGTATAAAAAAACCTACGCCGAAAGATAAGAGCAACATAATTCAATCATTTTTAAAGCAAAAAATGCTCAGTTTACCAACATATAAGAATAAAAAAAATAAAAAAAATAAAAAAAAAAACTGAACTCACGGAGCCGAGTAACAGAGTGGGTACATATATATATACTTTTGGTGCAGTCAATTGCAACCAAAAAGGGAGGTGCACAACTACATGTTATAGTAGTCCTATATACAAAATTTAAACGTTCTAAGTCTACTCGTTTTTGAGTTATGAGAGATACATACATACATACCTAGAGACGCCACGAAAAAAAAAAAAAACTCTGAATCTATTTTAAATCAGTTTTATAATTCTTTTGGGGAAAAAGAGTTTCTTATTCTGTCCTTATGTACAGATGCCACGTAAAAACATCGTTAAATTGAATTCGATAACGGCCAAATGGATAAATTCATTGAAATGTGATACCTGGAATTTTTCGTTATTACAATACATCCTTTCCTTCGTACAAGGAAGTCAAGGAATAATAGTCTTAAGAATTGCGTCTTTTATACAGTTTATTTTGTACACCATCTTACGTTTTTCCGAATGGCAACAGACTTAATGAAAAGTGAAACTTTTTTTTGTTTGTTTGTTTCGAGACTAATAGCCCTTTTGGGCTAATAATACATGAAATTAATAAAATTGCTTTTTAAACATAGCCATTAATGTAAAGAGGGGCTCTACTGTTACACAGCAGCCATACTAAAATTACAGACGCAAAACCTGCAAGTTGTCAGCATGATTTTTTGCTGAACCCTCCTTTGAAACATAAGATTATTATATGAAAATTAATCATTACGATTATATTTTTTGTTAAATTGCTGCGGATTTTGTTTATTTCCTTATTAGGCGACTAGATTTAAAAAAAAAAAAAATTCTATAGTATTTTGATTCTATAAACTGAATTGTTGATCACAATAAGCGATTCCTTTTACGTGCAAATAGGACGTCTGAAGGCGGGAGATCGGTAAATGGATAACAACATCCAAACTACATTAACCGCGATCACATGAAGCGGCGCCTACTGTATTGGAGTGCGCCTTATAGGTGGTGTTCTTGCTTCTACTCAATGCTAGCAGGTAAACCGTTTTACAGGCGCATCTTAAATGCGTGCAAGAGTGTCAATGAGAAAATGAACTTATCGCGCAGCTGCTTCATAACAAACATTTTAAAATGTTGGAAAAAATACCTTATATACATAATAATGAGCATGTAACACAAGATCAACTAAGTACAAAGCAACTAAACAACTACCATGATTACCGCAACACATGTTCACAAAAGCTGAAATCAGAACGTATCTTACACATTGTGCTGTACATGCTGCGAAATTTCAAACCGAAAAGTATAATGTATCTTTAGTCTTACAAGAACAACCTGTGGAAGGTAACAAATACAAAATTTCTTAACCTAAAATATAACACAAACATCACTCACAGAAACAGGTAAAAAAATATCATCCAGTGCATGCTTACAAGGTATAAAGGAACTTAAATCGTAACGTTCGCATGAATTACATGTCATATGAGAGAGAACTGAGAATTCTCCAATAAATTAGTGGTAATCAGAGTACTATTGAATGGAATTCGAGGTCCCCAGAGGGTCTTCATGTGTCACATTAATTTTCGGTCAGTGTTTAAGACTTAATGCAGTGAATAATACAAATAAATTCATTAAAGTCTGAAAACATCGTACATTACCATTTGCTAATTTCTCTTTTATTTTGTTCGGCACAGACTACTTAGAAATAATGCTAAAACTATGCAAATTTGACATAAGTTTCGCAAATATGGAAAGGTAATATGCATCTTCAGTGAATGCACATGTAATGCGCAGTAGCTGATGCACAGTTGTTGTCATTTCGTGTTTTTAGAAAATACGAAATGACAACAACTGTGCATATATATGAATATATATATTCCATGTGACAATAAACTATTTACATTCAAGCTGAAAAATGAATGACCGTAATTTTCTTCCTTACCTGTGTTGGGGAGGAGGCGAGGGACATACAGCTGCTCTGCGAGGACATACTTCTGCTAGAGTGGCCCTCCCCACGAACACCTCCAGAAGAGGCAGAAGATTCCGAGGACAACATGGAGACATTGTCGGAAAAGGCCGAATCATTGTCTGGGCTTTCAGTCCTCATACCCATATCTCCTTTCTGGGAACGCAGAAAATCCTCGCAGTACATATCCACCTATAATAAAAAAAACCAAGTCAAATAACTTAGTCGATACAGATGATGTAACAGCGCTTAGGTAAAAAGCCTCGGATACTCGTCAATTTGTTTTCCTGCTGAGCAGTTCGTAATAATTTCTTATGGTCAGGTTAGAGAACTTCAAAAAGACAAAAAGGGGTAAAGATCATCGAGAGCAGACCGTGACTGAAGAGACAGTTGGAGGATGGAATTGGGTGTGAAATGATGCTTTGTTACCGTATTTAAATACGCCACCATTTTGTTTTGTGAAAATTCGATAAATTTATTGTTGTGTTACGCTGAGTCTTTTATCAAAGAAACAAGTTGGAAAATAATAATTAGGAATACAATAAATCCTTCGTAACCGGCTTCCAGTTAAAGCAGCGTCTCGCTTTAGGGCAAAGCTTATGCTTCACGCAGGTGCAATAGACATTTTTTTAGCATAGTAAGCTTCGTCGCTGTCGCTTGACGACAAATACAGATTTCAGCCATGCAAAGACAACTGCTGAGGAATGTGTGCGCTATGCTGACGACGATAAATTTAATAAAAAATTTTTTACATATGAAACAAATTAAGTTTTTAAGCAACATTCGTAAGTCAAAAGAAAAATATTTAATACAGTTTAGATTAAGAATTACTGATTTGTTACTCAGATAAGCTTAAATATGCGAGAATTTACTTACTCGGAACGTATAGAAAACATATGGGAAAATAGACTTTTATTGTTTTTTCGCTCGCGTTTATGTTTCTGAATTGCTTTAAATTAATGCTGTAGGTTTCTGCAACGCGCAATAATCAATTAATTTTACCTTATTTCACATTTATTTTATAACGTATTTTTATTTGATATTATATCTCATATTTATTGTTATCATAAAAGTTAATCTTTTAAAATTTATTTCATTTTTTTGGATGCTCTGTTTCAATTAGAGTTGACGTTCTGAAATTTATATTAGCCACTTCACGGTCAGGAACAATTTAAACACTGCTGCAGAATAGTAAAAAAAGTAGATGAGAAAATAAAATAAGGTATTTCTAAATATAATTATTCTTATGATCAGGAATAAAGCTTAGCCCCATAGAACATGGGAGAAAAGTTCAGAGACCTGAATCAGTATGATGAGTGAAGCTCGTGTTTTAAGTCAGAACTTCACAGATTTCGAATCTTTAAAAATGAATTGTAGAAATACAGATGCAGAAAAAATTACAGTTTCTGATTAATGATGCAGAACAGAAGCTGGATGATGCAAAAATGACCTTTTATGAGCGGGAGATGAAAAATAAAATGTTGTCATATGAGTTCAAACATGATCCTAACGCCTTCAATATCAGGTGTACTAACCTTTATACTGAAAGAAGCCCTTATTTCCCTAATTGTCAGTGCCACAATATTTAAATTTGGAAGCGCGCGTGAAGGAATGCAAATTCACCTTGAAGATAGAGTTTAAATACCGAGGTTCAGTAGGAAAGAGAGAGAGTCAGGCTATTTGCCGTCACCTCTGATGCTTAAAGCGTCTGCTCCCAGAGTACTGCTGCTCTGCGTGGCTGAATTCCATTTACTTGCTGCAACTAGTTTTCTACTGGGGTTTAAGAAAACAGGAATTATACTGAGCCCTGTAGTTTAGTTCAACAACTTATACATATTTAGATCTTAATTTCAGTTACCCCCCAAGCAGAGGCGTAGTGTGTTAGCGTCGAGCTGACGCAGTGTAAATATCAAAGAGTTAATTAAAGGGTACTTTTAATCCTTCTTCTGTGAAGTTACTACTCTTCCAGTTTTCTCACAGGAGTCATCCTAGTGGACTCTACAAGCCTTTATGCAGGTTCTTGTTTCTGAGAAACCAAAAAACTCGGATAATAAGACGAAGAAATTTGTTTTTGAAAAATATGCAGTTTGTTAATTTCTTTCTGCTCTCCCACAGTGTTTTTAGACGCCAATGTCATGGTACACCCCCAATAGTATATAGCAGACGGCAGCTAATTACGCCAGCGAAGTTAGGATAAAGCGAGACGCTACCTCCAGTTAACCGGCAATATCAAAATAACGGCACTTCTGGAAATCTAAATTGAAGTTCGAATGTGGTCCATGAGATAGAAATATATAATGGGCTAATAATCCAAAGACATTAAGGAAAACATTTTTGGTATGCTTTTGCAGCCCCATGTAATAAATCTTATCTAATCAATGAATTACTCAGAATGTAAAGATGAAACATTGATCCCTTTTTATGCATCGATATGTGAACTCTGAAAGTAGTGTCAATGGTTTTCAGAAACAATTCGCATTGAAACACGCCATATTCACTTTGGCTCTTGTCCGTAAAATGTAAAGAACATATCACCGTTGCTGGCGTTCATTGTAGCTTGTTATCACGTTCGTAGATGACGAATCGACTGACGAAGATTCTCTTGGTTTTAAAACATGTCTGGCACTCCTGGCCAACATCTTGGATTTAGATCTAAGCTGGAAGAAGATTAGTGTTTGTGAAGAGGAGGTATAGGCTTCACTAAAATGCAGACAATTATGTTCCCGTCACACTCTTTCAACATGATGAGGAAATAATCGGACATATACTGGGAAAATTAAAAGATGTTGAGAAAGACGGGAGGATGAAGATAAAGACGACACGCACAGTAAGACAGATATGTGGAAGGAAACGAAAAACAAATATTCCAGATTTTTACAAGCTAATCTGCGTCAAAACATAATGTTATCAATCTTCATTGTACATGCAACGAACTGTTAAATTCTAACGACAATATCTTAAGCAGGAAGACAATTGAAGTTGTATGTCGTCACAGAAATCCGTAACTTTCATGTGATAATATATCTATGCTAATTTTAAAAGGCTATTTTAGTTTTATTTTTATGAAATACAAATCATACGCATGTTTTTTTAAATAATCTGTACCATTTTCGATATTACTTATTAAATAGTGACCAGTAGATTGACAACCAATCTGCAGTTCCTACAGACGGCATGATAGAACATGAACAGTAAGTAAAGTTCTAGAAATATACATTTAATTATCCGGAAGCATCTCTTATCAGGAATCTGTGAGGTTCCGTTGCTGCCTGATAAGAGAGATTATACTGCATACGAGTACATTAGCTACAAACATTTTCGAAAATACAGAATTATGTAAAAGACAAATGATAGAAGTATCTACCATAAAAAGGCAGGGGCATTTTCCTAAAATGGCGGCAGAAGCTCAAAATTTGGGGAATGTGTGTTTTGATTTTAACATTTTGTATTAATTCCAAGTTCCTGTAAAATGTAACAAACGCTTAAGCATTGTGAATTATGATATTTATAATCTGATGTAATGTTCATTTTATTATTAATTTTAATTCCTTAGAAATGTAAAATAGATTTTCTCTTATTATGAATTAAAAATATTCGACTGAGAGGAAAAAAATTGAAGATTTTTTGTAGTCAGTATTGGACATTTGTCTCTTCTCTGCTTATGATATTTAATCACAATACAGCTACAACTATAACTTGTCAGTAAGTTTTTGATTAAGTCTAAAAACTGCTTGTAAGTGTTGTCTAGTAATTTAGTTGTTGTATCTTGTGATACGTAATGAGTACATGATTAAAAAGTGCTACTTTTCAGTCTATGTAATGATTATTATTATATACAATGGTGCACAGTTCTTTGAAACTTATGTGCATAGTTCTCGTACTAAATATTAAAACATACGATTCAATTTCTTTTTCCTGATACAGTATGATGATAAAGTCCGAGATCCGGACTCATCGGGACTTCAACGATTCCGGATTTGGGATTTCTCCGGATATTAGATCATCAGTTTAAAACTAGTAAATTGGCATGTAGAAATTATAGAATTAAAAATATGAAATCGTGATTTACGAAATGATGAAGCATTTATGATCTAAAGGGTAACAAAATTTACAAAAGAAAAGCTTAATATTTTTAAGTGCTCGAGGTCACATATTTTTTCCGATTACGAAATGTTTACACTTGTGCGTTCCTGCAGCATTTGTGCATGCTAAAATCGTTAGCCTTGCTTTGGAATCTTTGACACCAATTGCAGCCTTTTCTGTAGGGGTTGCTAAGGTATTTCGAGGTGCATATTGCCAGAAAAGACCAATTTCATCAGCGTTGTAAATTTGTTCAAGACATCGATCCTCCAACAAATCTCCTTAAATACTGAGACACTGAAATTCAATATCAACGGCTAAATATTCGGCGTAAAATTACAAGGTATTTTATGTTAATAAACCAATTATGATTTAAACCTTTATTATAATTTCTCCTTTGTGTAATCCTCACCAGAATGTATAGTAGTAGTCTGAGTATTTAAGTCGAGGGTTTCGAATGTTTTAGAATTTTTGCCAACCTTCACTAGTAGCTTACGTCCTATCACCAGATCTGCCATAGATTGTTCCCGATTTAGCCATTTTGCTAACCGACGTTTTAAAATACCCTGTTAAATATTTGAGCCAGCTTAAATAGACCATTCTATGAAGCCTCCGACAACGTTACCTCAAACTGGAATTTCAACTTGTAATATTTTAAATACCTGCAAATGGCGTCGATTATTTGTATGCACAAGTAATGCCATCTGTTTAATTTAAAGATTTAATAAAAAGGTTATTTTCACCTCCTCAGGATTTTGTCGTATTAATTCAGACTGAATTGATAACTCTCTTTCAGCCTAGTTGAGTCTGAAGGACACTGATTTAAACTTTTACACAACAGAACCCTTCAAAATAATATACTGATGTACTGTCTACCGGATATTAAAGAGGTACACAATTTACCAACATTGGATAATAACAATGTTAACGAAATTAGAATGATAATATATTACGTTTATTATCTTCATCATGAAACAGTTGAAACTTACTCAAATCTATAATAAGAAAAATTACGGAATGTGTCAAAGCGAAAAGTAGAGTCAATATACCGTAAAAAACTTACGGAAAGCAAGGGAAAAAACTATTACTTTTTTAGGGGGGGAAAGGGAAGGTAACTTAATCAAGAATTATAAAGATTATTATGGTTCAACACTTTATATCAAAGAAACCAGAAAAGTTAAATGAGACAATTACTTACTTGCAGACCTCCGATTTCGAATTTTGGCCTCGTGCCACCACCACCAGAATTGGATCTATTATGACCAGAATTAGATTTGCTTTCTGACTGGTTTCTGTTATTGTTGTTGCTGTTGTTACAATTCTGATTGTTCGCCACATTCGTAGGCCTGGAATTCACCCAGGTATTCCCCAGGGCCTGGTTGGCAGACTGGCTCTTAGGCATAATTTCCCGATCCAGCTTATCCTCCAGGGCACAGAGTTCGCCTAGGATGGCATCCAGCTCCACATCTTGGCTATCTGAAATACGCAAGACGACACGTCACCAATATTATAAGCTGAGTAGATAACTTGGTTATCATTTTCTGTATTAATGGTCTCAAACTCAAATAGCATGCTGGTTAAACTCGAACAGTTTAACCTTGGACAGAAATGACAAAAGGTTATCTTCATCAGGGATTGTAGATGCTCGTTTCTTTTCTTATTAATTTTCAACTTTGAAAAGAACGTTCCTGACGTATAAATGTCTTTCCACACACAAAGTGATTATTCCTGAGTGCAGAATTAGTAACTGAGTTTATTTATTTTTTGGTAAGTATGAAAAAACATTTACTAAAACCTACATTTTTAAATCTGTTAGTGAGATTTATATCATACTGTAAATTAATTAACTCCACTAATTGTTTTTCTGATGCGTTATTCATGTCTGTTTTTAATGGCAATGAAATTAATGTAAACTTCGACCTTGAAATGTACACTTTGAAACAACTAATCCTGAAATCTTTACAACACCATATTTGCAATAAATACATAAAAAGTGAAGTGCCAAGAGCTATTGCATTGGCTGTAGTGTCTGGTTTCAGTCTGGACATATTAGAATGTTAGATTATTAGTCTAAAAGGACTTTGTCCCTGAAGGACTATTGTTTACGTTTTGCGATTTTGCGTTGTTCCCTATAAATGTCCGTTTCACTTTTTAAACTATTGCCACCAAATGTTAGAATCCTGCATTATAATTGAAGAAATTAATTAATGAAAAATCTGCATAAATGTATGTATATTTCTTGCATTGTGATATAAAACAACGGTACATAGAGCCATCGAATTTTGAATGGCGTAATCCTACTGCGAATATGGGAATGTCGAAGCCCAAATTTGAAATTTGGAATTTGTTTTATTATCGATTTCATATTTTGAAAATTAACAAACTCAAGGATTTCAAAGCGAACAATGGCAACGTTGTACAGAAAGAACATTTTTATCTCCAGCGCGTGAGACTGCGTATCAGAAATTCTAAAGATATGTTCAATTTAAAACTATTTTGCGATATTGCTCTTGAACCTGAATTTTATGGTTTAAGTGCGAAGAACGTGATATTTAATAAATAAAGGTATCAGACAAACTGTTAAAAAAACGCCCCTTTGGACGTCATTTAAAATCTGAAAGCTTTCAGATTTTTATTTATTTGTTTTTATTTAAATGAATCAGTTATTATGATTTCGGTCGTTACTATAATTTCTCCTTTCCGCATTCCTCACCAGAATGCAAATGAGGTAGCCAGTATTTAAAATGAGGTTTTTGGATTTTAAAACAGAACATGTTTCTGGCTTCGCGTGCATGCTACGTGTGAGTTTCCTGCCAGCTCTGATAGTTTTAATTATTCAGTTTTGCGTTCTATTGCTGCCGACACTTTGATTTCGGCGCTCGGAAAGAGTACTGAGTCAGCTTCTAGTAATATTGAATTGTGTAGTCTTTGACTACTGATTTATATTAAGCATAAATTTGAGTTGCATCAATACGAGTTGATGCTGATATTGTTGCAAGAGTGCCTTTCTGTTTTAAATTTTGTTTTAATAAAAAAAAAAGGTTATTTAAAACCTTCTCACGAATTTGTAGTTACTTCAGACGAAGCGATACTTCGTTTCACGTCTGTTACAGTTATTGGATTAATTAACATTAGCAGATCAAGTGAAACCCTGCAACTCTTATTTACATAACAGATATTCAGCGACTTGATTATTTCAAAAAAACATCCATCCCTCCAATGCTGCTATGCTTATAACCTAATATGATCCTTTAGCTTTGGGCAACAAACTGTAAGCTTACTTTATATAATATTAAGGCTCCTCTTAAAGCAATCCAGTTTATCGATGGTTCGATATAAGGCATTTTTTCGCATTACATTCCGCGCTCAATAATTATTTATTCGTAATATAATTTGCTACAACGCAATTATGCTCGAATCCCAGAAAGGATCAAACATTAGGTTGATGCATTACCATATTTCTTCGCGTATTCCCCCCCCCGTTTAAGTTTTTCGGTGAAAGATTCTAAAAATATTCTTGTAATTTCCCCCTTGTTCAATGGAGACATAAAATAAGCTCCCCTAAATTTTAAAATGGATTCACGCACGTAGTGATGTAGTGTTTCCGCCTTCCTAACAAAGTCAAACATTCTCAAAATATCCGCGAAAGTCATACCGAACCTTATCCTTCTATCTGTTGAAATTTATGTCAGCCAAATATCAGAATCGAACCATCACGGCGATGCAAACGTGAACTCGCATTCAATCTATGGTTTCCCTCGGTTGCATATTCACCTTCTCTAATTATTTATGGATAACTGGAGGCTTAAGGAGTCACAGGAACAACAAAAAGAACGGGTGCGATACAAGTTACCAGGAAGTAGACATGAAGATATCTTATTAGATGTTGTAACGTTAATGTTACTACGCATTCTTATTGGAACATATGTTTCTTTTAAGAAATAATATTGAGATAGTTACTAGTAGTTTACCCATGACTCCTTTTCATTCGTTACGTTTATATCGTAACTACGTCCTTAGAAAATTAAATTATTCGTATCATTTTCTCCTCTCGATTTTCGGACGATAAAATTAGTAAAAAAAAGGGGCGTAATACGGTATTAATGAACTGACTCAGTACTATCAAGCAGCAAAAAATATCCATTGGATAATTTGAGCTATGAAACGATTTCTATCGCTTGAACTACTAAACGTTTTCCAACTAAAAATGAACGCAATAACGAAAAATTATAATTAAATTTTCGTGAAAAAAGACGTAGATTTTAATATAAGCTTCAAAACGGCAGAAAGAACTATGAATGTGATACTTGTTACTATCAGCAGCTACAAAAAGGGAGAAAAAAGGTGTATTAAACGACTTGATTATTAAAAAGAAAATCTGGGAGGATTTAGATTTTAACGTAGCACCAGAGGGTTTATGAAAGTTTTTTATATTCTAGCTGAGCTAGCAATTTACCAATCTGTTCATGGATTCACTCCTGTTAACACAGCTTACTTTCTTTTTAACTTGCCTACTATTGCATTATTAAATATCAATTTCTTCGCACTATATCACATAAAATTCAATAATAAAGTCGCAAAAGTTTTAGGTGCTAAGCATTCCCGATACAGTGCTAAGCATTGCAATTAATTTTCTTTTTAGAATTTTCTGGTTCATGATATGAATGTTTTTCAGTAAGATGGCTTACAGAACTCTTTTTGTGTTTTTATTATTAACTTTCTGTCTCTTTAACTTAATGTTTTAAACATCACGTTCTTCACCCTTACACAAAAATTCAACAGCAAAATCATAAAATTTTAAAAACAGTATACCTTTGAAATTCCCGGTAGATTGTTAACTTTTGTATATTGGTCACATTTATGTCCTTAAATATAATACTTGTCGATAACATTAGGTGGCCAACATCCTTTTATTTATGTTGCTTTTATTTACGACTAACTGAAGTATCCGACGTTGCCCGTGCTTCGGGAGCAAAGTGAAGACGCTTCATTAAGAGGATGGGAGTAGTTCTTTCGAAATGTCAGACAGACATTGATTTTTTTTCTTATTTTGGTTCAAGGTGAATTGTGAAAAATTTTACCAAGCTCGAATAAAACTGTAGATTTTACTTGGATAGAATATAAACATTACTTTTTATTGCAACTTTCGGCCCAGTAGAACGGAAGATATAGAACTGTCCCATTTTTTTCCCCCCTTTTCTTTTCTTTTCTTTTCTTTTTTTTTTTTTTTTTTCGCAGTGTACTTCCAATTTACATAATGCTTTCAAGTTAATACTTGCTACATAAAATGGCTGTCCCTGTGCCTAGTTGTTTACCGTACTAAATGTGTGGCAGATGGGAAATTGGCGAATCTCATGAAATCGAAGGGCATGTTTGAATCTCGGGGCACCAACGGAATAAATACATCTTCAACTGAACCATACCCCATCATGATCGACTCTATTACGTTCAGCAATAGTTTCTTGACGGTGAGCCTTTTTCCGTTGCAAACTTCGGCGGGTAGACGATATGTAATAAAGAGGCTGTTCGAACATTTTTTGGAAGATTTTCATTGTATATACAGAAATATTTTACCTACTATTGTGTTTTAAATGTTGCATTTGGTAACCTTTAAAATCTTCATCATTTCCAAGGCAATAAAGCCTTTTTTTTTTCCAGTATCGAAAGAGGTACTTTATCCCATTCCTCTTGAACAGCTTTCCAGAATCCAAGGAGAGTTGTAAGTCGACGTTTGGAAAATTCGCTTTTTAAAAGTACAAAAGCGCAAACATCCGTGGATGATATATCAGGAGATTTAGTAGGGGTATGAGTGAAGGGTTATGACCTTGATAACCGTTTCTTGTTCCATTTTTTCCCCGAAAATTAACAGTAGATTTTGGCTGCTTGCTTTGTCTTGATAGAGTTTTAGTAGTTGATGGCACTGTGGGTAAAGAGAACGTATTTCATATTTGAAAATAGGGTTTAAAATATGTTCCTGATAGCATGTGGAGTTGACCTTAACAGTTTTCTGTACTTTCTTTAATTTTATTTGCCATTATATAAAAATCCAGCAGCAGTCATAAATCTTTTGAAAAACTTTCTTTAGATTCTTTTATCGTGTTTTAAGATTTTTTTCCTCTTTGATGATAATAAATGGATCTTTCCGTATTGCGATCATTTAAATATACCCAAGATTCATTTACTGGAATATTGTTTTATTTTTGTCCGAAAAATTGTTCTCATAGAGAATTCTGTATAGCGCGTTCTGCTTTCGGCGATTGTCGTGGAGAAAGACGATGCACATTACTTTTTTTTTTTTTTTTTTTTTTGCCTTTTTAAGATTCAAATTAGCATTAATCACTTTGTTTACAGTTGACGCTGAGCATTTTAATGATTATGCAACTTGGCGAATTTTTATTTAACATTAAAATTCTTACCTTTGCAACATTGGAAACATTCCGTTTTTTTTTTTTTTTCCTTGGATTCCTTTGTACTTGAAACTTGTCCTTTGTCCTTGAAACTTTGTCGTTTATTTCCTTTCTTTTTCACAATATTATCTATCGTTCCTTTACATATCGAAAAATCATGGCTCTCACAGCATTTTTTAATAACTAATTTTCTTCGGAAGGAACGCAAACACAGCTTTCCGTTCATTGCTACTTTGAAAGCGCCATTGCAAATTGTCAAATAGCGGACGGTAATTTACACTTTCAAAAATATAGTTGCAATAAAAAATATTTTCAAGCAGGCGATTTTTTTAATAGCAAAGTAAAATCGCCTAAAAATGTGCGAACATCCTCTGTATAGTACGGATCCTTTTCTTAAGCAAGCTCGTGCGGCGGTATTCCTACGGGATAAAGAGCATTTCACATTTCTGTCGGATAATGTACTGAATCAATGTGGATAGGTGACAAAGTTACCGAAAAGTATTTCCTGGATAAGTTTTTATGTAATTATGAGCCAATATCTGCCCGTCGATCGATTATTTTAAGAGTTTTGATTTGTTATTTTATGTCTTTTTTGGGAAATCATCTTTTGGAAAATAACCATCCACTCTGGACAATTTCTTTACGGTTTTCGAAATATTGGCGAAAACTTGATACAGCGTGCATTTAAATTCTGCTTTAAAGGTTCTACACTATTCTAAAGAGTAAACGAACACAGCACCATCTAACGACTTTAGTAAAAACTGACAGTGGGAACGCAACACCGGGGACGTGAACCTAAGTATGTACGCAAGGTGTGAATACACCGTTGTAATGTAAACGTATCGAATGTGGAACCCTTTCGCTGGGTTTTTGAAATCTTAAGTAAACAGCGACCTCCCACTTGTTTCCAAAGCCAAGTGTGCAAAATTTCATCAGTATCGGAATAAAAGTGTAGATTTGTATGAATGACACACACGTAATCAACAAACGGACATTATTCATTACATATGTAGATGATTTTTATGAATTCACTTAGTGTCATTTCACGCTTCCATCTAGTAAATTGATAATAAATGAAACTGCGTTTTTTGCTCTTAAATCGCTCAGCTTGTTAATTAATAACTGAATACATTTGAAAGAAAAATTAAATATATCTTGCGCTTTGCTAAAAGAAAACATGCTTAAAAATATTTAATTTTTGCAATGGCAGCACATTTTCTCTTAAATCCATGAGTTTGTTCTTTAAATTCGACAGATAAATAAATATACTGCGTTTTCCGAGAGTGGAAATACATTTCTGTTATTCGCCGAGTTTTCTGCTTAAATATAAAACATAAATATCTCAGGCTTTTCAGGGTGGCAACAAAAAGCTTTTAAATCGTCGAGTTTTTTTTAATCAGAAGTTGGTTATAGCGTAAAATATATGTATATAAAGAGTGTGGACCCCGTGGGGGTGGTTTCTGAGAAATCTTATGTAGATCCCGTTGTTGTTTTGAAGGTCACGTGTACAAAGGTTCATTAAGATTGGAATAAAATTATAGATTTGTATGAAAGATAAATGCATGGACTTTCTTCATTATTTCTATACACTGCTTAGAATTCCGTAAACCTCCACATGCAAAATAAAATAAATCTTGTTCAAACTTTATCCGGCGTTCCGCTATTCCCATTTAGTATGAATTAAAATGATCCCATATAACGTTGCTTCATTTAGCGCTCTATTTCTTTGCAACGTTTTCCGAGCATTAACGGTTGTCTTTGGATGCATAACTTTGATAACTCGGAGAACAAGATTCGAAATCTCTAGATATCCATTAAGTTCGATCTAATGTACCTAAGTAATACGCTTCATTAGATACAAAAATACTAAGGCATATGATTAGGATGCAAAGAAATGACACAGACACCAGAAGTTACAACGTACCTTCCATATTGGCCATGGAAAATCTATATGTATCCATTCTTGGTGTTGGAATAGTCAATTTACTCGAAGAACTCAACTTGTTTCCCGTGGGTACGCATTCCAAGCCCTGAAATAATGAAAATACTTTATTCATTCACACTGCTTCAAAAAATTATTAATACAAATAATAATTCAAGGTCAATATAACAATAAAAAAACTAGAAATAAAATTCTTAGTAATATGGTTTACAAATTATTCTGTCTTCTTATTATTATGTAGTCATGAGGTTATATCAATGCTGGAACGTGAACAATGTGCAACGCCCTCGGCAGGATTCGAGTTCCGGACCTCTTAAATACGAATATCTTCTAGCTACTCACGAAGGCACGCGCACAGTAGGGAGGAAATTATTTTATATACTCAGATATTTAAAGGTCGACAAGGGATAAGGGGGCGCTTTTAGAATTTTTCGATGTCAGAAAACCACAATGCCCTCACCGGGATTCGAACTCCGGGCCTCCCGAATGTGCGTCGGGCGTGCCATCCAGTTTCATCACGAAGGTTGGTTGGTTGGTTGACTTTTAATGGCACAAAACTTTGAAGGTTATTATGCGTCAAACGAATGGTGAATAAAATCTAAGCACACTGTATCAGACGAATTGTTGAAATGAACCTGTAATGCTGATGAAGCAATGAAGAAACGACTTTGAGAAATGCTCTAGCAACAGGTAGAGCAGGATAAAAGGAAAAAACTTCAAATCATATGGTAAAAAGAGATGTTTTAAAAATCTTATGAGGTTGATGTGAGGGTTTCTTCCAATGAAATCTGTTAAGTTAACATTCTTAGAGTTAAAATGATATTTACGTTTCCGACTAAGAGCAGGACAGCAGGTTAAAATGTGATTGACTGAAACGGAACATAGGCTTATTATCTCCTTTCAAGATATACTGATGTGTCAGTCTGCAGTGACCAATTCGTAGGCGAGTCAGCAGTACCTCCTCCTTTCGATTCCCTCTCGACTCCCAATACTCTAAATTGGGTTTTACCTGCCTTAATTTGCTCAGTGTCTGGCATTCCCAGAGTTCTTGCCACCTGGACAAGATCTTTGTTCTGATGTAATTCCGTATGTCTGTAAAAGGGACATCATTTTCAGAGGTAAAATCAGCAGATTTTGCTGCGACATCGGTGAGATGTCAGAAAACCACAATGCCCTCACCGGGATCGGCCTTTGATGCCAGCATGTCCAGGCACCTTGCAGTACGCAATAGAATAACCTGCGTTTCTCAAACACAGGTGTGCCTTTAAAATTTCTAAGACTAAAGGGTGGCTAGTATTTTTATTTATTGATTCAAGAGCACTCCGAGAGTCAGAGTAGGTGATTAACTTTCTGCTACTCTGCTCAGAGATAAAGATTAAGGAATTCAAAATGGCAAAAGTTTCCACACTAAAGACAGATGCAGCCTTATGAAGTTTACTTTATTTCTTTATCACAAACAAAAGCTGCCCTGACATGATCATGATTCTTTGAGCCATCAGTAAAAATTGCTTTATACTTATAATGACTGCTTCTATGCTCTAGGAAAATTTGTTGATATTGGACATCATTGGTAGTAGTCTTCTTAAGTTCTCCTAAAATGTTAAGTAGGTGAAAATTCACCTACTTAACATTTTTGTTGCCAGGGAGCAACACCGAAAAAGCTAAAGCTTTTGGGATGCAGATCTTTCAGGTTGAATTCTTCAATCAGTGAATGAATGCGAAGATCAAAAGGTGGAATACATGAAGACCGTGCTTAGTAGATACGCCAGTACTGATCAGATGTCATGAGTCGGGTAGGATGTTCGGCTTGTGACATTACTGCTTGCGTCATTATAATGAAGATCAATGGATAACTGCTTGCGTCTAAATTCCAGAGATGGTTCAAAACAGATTACATATAAACTTTGGACTGGAGATGTTCTGAAAGCCCCACAGCAAATCATCACGAAGGCACACGGAAAGTAGGGAGAAAGTATTTTACATACTACTCTTTTTAAAGAGCAACTGGGGATGAACGGACCGAACTGCCAAATCCTGGTAGTGATGAATTATCGTGAATTACCTTTTAGTTCGGGAGCCACTTATATTAAGAAATCCGTAGTGTCTTCGCTGGGATTCGAATTTTAGCCTCCAGAATACGCGTCTAACTACACTACGAAGGCATGTTTAAAGGAGGGACAATATAATTAACTTTGATCGTTTTAGTTTTATTTATTAAAAATCACTTTCTTCATAATAACGCGAGATAAAATTCAGCAGCGAAATCATAACATCTTAACAGTAGCATATCTTAAGAGTTCCCGACAGAGTTCTACACGTCAAGAATGACTAGTGGCAACATTCTTTTACTTGAAAAGTCAAGAAGGTCAAGCATGTAAAATTTCATCACGGTTGATATAAAACTGTAGATTTGTGTGAATTACGCACATACAGACCAACAAAGGGACATTCTTTATATATATATAGATGATTTTAATGAATCCAATTAAAATAAATTTCACAGGTCCAGTTACTAATTAATAATAACTGAAATAGATCTACGGTTATTGCTTTTAAATCGCTTAGCATGTTAATTAATAACAAAATAAACCTAAACGAGAAATTAAATATGTTATGCTTTAGAACAACAAAACACTTCCCCAAGGAAGATTAAAAAATATTTTAATTTGGGCAGTTGCAACATGTTCTTTAAAATTACTAAGACTGTTCATTAAATTTGAAAGACAAATGTATTGCGAATGGCAGTACACACTTCTTTTATAACGCAGAAATTTCTGATTCTACTTAAAACAAATATTTTACGCTTCGCAGAGTGGCAACACGAATCTTCAGGGATGACGGATGGACACATGACCTCCATATTATACATCGTTGACGTAGTTAAATATTGCCAATAAAAGCATATAAAAATTCCCGTTACATATACCTTAGTCAATAAAAAAGATAGTCACTCATGTTTATTTTTCTCAAGTTCTAACAGAAAACCCTATCAAGAATCTTCCTCCTAACACACATGCACACAAAATGAATTTGGCTAAGCATTCAGCATCTCAAAATGCATTTCCGCATTTGGAACTCGATTTTCATTTCCAGAAGCCATCAAACAGCCAGGATGGAGAGAAGAAGCCCTCGCTTCGTCACAAATCCTTTTAAGGGTTATTTAGATTCGAAAGCGGGGATTTTCCCTTCCATCCAATAGGATGCGCTCCCAGCATGCTTAGCGAGGCAGACAAGGTCTTCAAGGAAACAAGATGAGAGCTCTCCAAACGACAAATCTTTTCGTTCCTAAGATTCATAGCTCTTCACGCATTAGAATTAATTTTTTTTTAATGACCTGCTCGGTTTTTTTTCCTGTTTTATGATTCTTAAATTAGAATGCGTGATGCATTAATATGCAAAAATAAATGGAGATACTCTAATAAATTCTAAAGATGCGTAAATAAAAAATGTAAATAACAAATTATGCTTTTCAACTCATTAGCATATCGTAATAGAAAACGTCAATATTCGGAGTAACTGAAACCACAATCCATTCGGATACGGTAAGCGCCCAAAATTAAATGGCTGTATCACTTTCCAATGTCACAAAATGTCATCGACATGTAATATTATTTTTTAAGAAATAATATAGCAAACATAGAATATGTATGGCAAAATAAATAAAAGAACACTGCCACCAAATGTTATCTCTACGCAGTGTTTTAAAGAAATAATATAACGAAAAACGAACTAAAAAAATGTACAGCGTAAATAAAAGGATGCTGCCACCAAATGTTATCGTCATGTATTATTTTAAAAGAAAGAATTTAGCAAATGTAAGAAAATGTATGGTACGATTTAACTCTCCATTCAGATTTCTTAAGATATACTGGGCGAAACGTAAGGTATTTAATTTTTCATTTAAACTGAATCTGCCTGTCACTGATTGACAAACTACCAGATTTAAAAGCAATGAACGCAGATCTTTACCTCTTTTAATAATTACCAGCGAACCTCGTGAAATGAAACTAGCTGGATTTATTAAAAGTATCATTTTAGGTGATCGGCCGCATCGGCGGCTAGTTATTTGAAAAGTGAAGAGACAACAAGTGATTCGATGCAAACAAAAAGTTCGAGAATAAAATACATTTTGGTCTAAAAAATGCAAGGCAACACTTAACACTTTATCTGGAATTTCACAGATATTGTGATTTTAAAAATTTTGTAATTTTGCTGTTGAATTTGATGTGGCGTAAGTGAGAAGAAAGTGATGTTTAATAATGGAGTTAAAAAGACAAAAATAAGTTATGTCAGCGAGACAGATAGACAAACTCCGAGCCCAGCGACAGCATAAAAAATCTCAACAAACCCCTCTGGTGGGACGTTAAAATCTGAATCTTTTCGGAATTTGTTAAAAAGTTTTTTATTTAGCACAATTAACAGTTACCACACTTCAAACTTGTAAAAGTGTTGAACACAAGGAATACAAAAAGCTTCAAATACGTAAGCTCACACATACGTAAGCATAATCTGAGCTAAAACTCTAAACTCAATTAAACTGAAAAATAATGTTGTCTGTAGATATTTCCCCCTGGTCGATGAGAGATTTCCAGTAACTTCGATTTCTTGAAATTGCTGAAAGGAATACGCAGTTAAAATTACACATGGATCGGACCAATTACATTTACACAGAGATCGAACTAGTATGCCGCCAAGTTTGGCGAATTATCGCTAAATATGGCGACAAAAATTAGTAGTCAAAACCACTGTCAGCTTGGCGCTAGATCGCCAATTTGGCGAGATAGCCATTTACCTCTATGGTAAATGAACCTGCCGCTGTAACCCTATTTTTCCGACGATGCTCTGCATCCTCGAGCCTTTCATGTTACATTATACAAGAGATACTAAATTTAAAAAAATATTTACATATATGAAAAATTAGCAACAGTATTTAAATATGGATACTGAATGTCATCTTTCTAAGGCGACCATTTATACAGGATAAAATTGTTTAATATTGCTAGTGGTCATTTTGAAAAGGTTTTACTAATTTATCCTTCCAAAATTTTTTTTTAAATATGAAATTATCCCTACCCTCAACACATAATC